CTTGACATGACTCTGTTGCTAGATCTTGCCGAATCTAGCATCTCCCTCTACACTGAGATTCGACGTACTGCGCAGACCGCTAATGAATCAGCCGTTAAGTGCGTGCTGGGCGCTAGGCCACTTGTCATTCCATCATTACTGGACGCTTTTGTCAAGGCTGTCGCTGAGAGTGATTACCCTCGCATCAAGGGTGCCATGTTCGCTCTTCTTTTTGGTAGTTTGGCAAAGACAATCAGTCGAGACTGGCGGTTTACCCCCAAACTGATCAAGGCCTTCATCGAAGTTACCGGTGCTGACAAACCTTCTGTGCAAAAACTTGCCACCAACGCTACTTTCCAAATCATGGACATGGGTAAAGCAATGGAACGCATGGTTATTCTTCCCAAAGAGGTGGTGGAGTCTATTGCGTATGCCATTGACTCTAGTGAGGGTGACAGTGTACATATTAAAGTCACCAAGCGACGAGATTATATCAAGAAGAAGAGAGCTCGTATCGAAGACAAGAAATCTGAGTTATCCAAGGAGCTAGTGGAGATCGCCAACACTGAACATTGGAAGAAGGTCAGCAGGACCGCGGCCATTATCGTCAATCTAGGCATGCGTTACGACACTATTGCATCCGACGAGATGATCGACCTTGTCACCAAGGGATCGATTGACCAGCATCCTAGTCTCCGGGGTTTGTATGCTGGTGCCCTCATTGGCCTCTACTCAGTCATTCAGACACGCGCTATCACAGGTCACGACTATGAGAGATATCTGTTGAACGAAGAAGATCTGCCAGACAAGATTTCGGTGGAGACAAAACCAGAAGATCCTAACTGGACGGCAGAGTACTTGGCGGCATTTGCTCAGCCAGAAGCCAAGTATTACATCGACTTCGATTACCCTGGATGGTTGGTGTGGACCAAGAGTATGACTGCGTTCAAGCCAAATGCTCCGCAGCTGTCGTATGATGAGGTTGAAAATGGGGTTCGCCAGAAGATCGCGAAGCATCTTACGCGATCTTGGTTCTCCAACTATTTCGCTTTCATGAAGCAGGAGCCACGCGATAACAGCGCTGATCGTTTCCGCATGTCAAGTGCAATGGTGTTGACCCATTCATTCGATCTTGTGTTCAGTGGCCTGACAGAAGCTACATTTGAAGACATCAAGGATCTGACCCAGTCGGTATATGCCGATGGCAGTGATAAGCATCAACACCGCGCGACTGCTGAGATCATGGCTGCATTGCTTTCATGTGCACCAGATCTTAAAGCCGGCCAACGGGAAGCGGTGTGGGAATATGTCTTTCCTATCGTCCGTGGCATCTTTCAGGACGGTCTGACGCCAGAAAATTCCGGCTACTGGACCACCTTCCTGCATGTCGTGTTGCAATCCAAAGATCCTCGACGTGGGTGGCCGCTTGTCGACTGGTTGGCCAGTTTCCGTCTCGATATGGATTCCAATGCCGCTTTCAAAGAGAGTTCAAAGATCCATCTACTTACTCAGTGCATCTGTGATGCTGGTTGGCATTTCCGGTTGGAGAAACCAATTTTGGAAGACTTCATGAAGCATCTCGACCATCCCTACAAGGGCGTGCGTGAGGCTATGGGCCAGACTATTGCGAGCATCTTCAGGACGCGTTACCACGAATCATATAAAGATGTCGGTACGCTTATGAAAGCACAGAAAGAGGCTTCATCAATCGGAGTCCGACCTTACCAACCTACGGAGGAGTTCAAAAAGACCATTATCGATGTCTTCGACCGGCTTGAAGTATGGCGCCAGGAGCGTCCTGCAGGGCAGCAAACGCCTTCTTCCTACACGTCTGGTGGCAAGACAGTCTTGCTCTGGCTCGACACCACTCTCTCTTCGTATGAATGTACATCACTCATTAGCTTCTTCCCGGATGTCTTCATGGAGCAACTACTCCACATGATGGACATTAAAGAGGATCCTGAACTGCAATCGCTCGCCTACCACGTTTTCCGGCATCTGCCAAACATCCCGCATCGCGAGGGCGAGGATTCTGAATTCATTGTTGCGCTGATTCGGATTGGACGCAATGCAACCAGCTGGCATCAGCGTCTCAGGATCTTGATCAATATCCAGGTTATCTACTTCCGTCGACTGTTCTTGATGAGCGAAGAGCAGCAGCAGAGCATGTTCGATTGCGTTTCTGCTATGTTGTCAGACTCTCAGCTAGAGGTGCGTATGGGCGCAGCTACTACCTTGTCTGGTATGATCCGTTGCTCGCCGATTGCATTCCGCGATCGCCAAGTCTCAACGCTTAAGGAGCGGTTCACTAAGCAGCTTGCCAAGAATCCGCTGCCAAAGAAGCGCATTCCAGGCACGCCAACGACTGAGCAAGGAAAGCTTGTACTCACTCGCCATGCTGCTGTGTTGGGCCTAGGTGCGCTTATTCAAGCATTCCCTTACCAGAGCCCTCCGCCAACCTGGTTACCGGAGGTGCTGGCTACGCTTGCAAGAAAGGCAGCAGCTGATCCTGGTATGGTGGGCAAGAGTGTCAAGACTGTTCTTGCAGATTTCAAAAAGACCAGGCAAGATACCTGGCATGTGGACGTTAAGGTATGTATCTCCATCCCCAGAAGATCCACGGGTGTATCTCGATGCGAAGCAAATGCTAACAATAAAAATAGGCGTTTGAACAAGAGCAATTGGAGGATCTGGAGGGTGTACTGTGGAAGAGTTATTTTGCTTAGATCCAAACCAGGCGTTCGAGGACCAGGACTGGCGGCATTCACGAGAATTTGGGGAGAGGGAGAGTCATGTACTATAGCCAATAACAGAGAGGACCATAGCTATGAATGATATGATAGGGTCCTGGGTGCATAGCGCTATGTGGAGAATATGCTATTCTCCATAGTTCCGTGCTTATACATCAAAACGATACATTATGACTGTACCTGTTGCTTACTCATGCGTCACGGACGAAAAGGCCAATTCTTTTGCATTCCGCCCTTAAGAGTTGCAGCTGCCCCTCTTGAACCCCACTTGGGGAGGTTTCGGCCGCATCTACCCCATTGACATCATACTTCCCTAACACCTCTCTTGTCAGACACACCCAAACTACCATAGCTTCAGACCTTTTCTCTTCTTCTCTTGCGCTTTTCAAACAATGTCGCTTACAGTACTGTCTGAATCCGACGTCCGCACACTTCTTTTGCAATTGACGAAGCAGGACATACTAGACTTGCAGCAAAGCCTCGCAGATGCACTGCATCACTATTCAACAAGTACCGAAGAAGAAAGTGACAATGGGTGCTGTGAGAGTTACCAGTCTGCCGGGACGACTTTGAGAAGCAAGGATGGAGGAACGATGACGGTTACGCCGGCTAGTAGGTATGTCTGGCTTTCTTTTTTTTCTTTTCGAGTTTGAACATGGAAATGGTGTACCTGTTACTGATACTTACGATATAGCAACGACGGCCTCGGAGTCAAGATTACAACACATCTGAGCGATAGTAGCAAGGCCTCAAGGTTGTCTGACACTGAGTCGATAACTTCTTCCCTGGGTTCAGTCACAATATCTCAGAATTCTACAGCATCAACCAAGAGTTTGGACACCACGACATCGCCTCGTCACTTACTGTCACTTACTTCCTCGACTACGCAACATGGCAGTCTTACCTTATTCGACAACTCCGGCAAGCTGCGCGCTCTTCTCAACACCTCTGAAGTAACAGCTTTCCGCACTGCGCTCGCAAGTACCATGCTGTTTAAGAAACGGCGCAATGTACATGACGTGGTTGTCTTTGGAGCCGGGCGACAAGCTTACTGGCATATACGCCTGGCGCTCTTACTTCGAGGCGAAGAAATTCATCATCTAAACATCATCAACCGCGATTTCGAGCGCGTGCATCAACTACTCGAGACACTATACAACCCGCACGAAGCGCCCAAAGGATTTAATCCAGATCCTCAGCATATTCCCGCGTACAGACAATCAGCTCCATCGCAGACTGAAGTCCTCCACAGGCCAAAGATACAAATCCTGACTCCCTCGCATGGCGAGTACAATCGCTACCTACACGATACGCTTCGCTCGAGCAGCTGTATCTTTCTCTGCACGCCCTCCGCAATACCACTCTTCCCAGCAGCCATCCTGACCAACCCCGAAGGCCGTAAGAAAGGCCGCTACATAGCAGCCATTGGCTCAGTTTCCCCCTCAATGATAGAACTGCATCCAGACGTTGTGCGCCAGAACGTCGCGCCTGAGCACGGCCACCGCCATTTCCACAAGCATGCCCAGCAAGGGGGTGCGATTGTGGTAGACAGCGTAGACAGGTGTCTGAAAGAAGCAGGTGAAGTCGTGCAAGCTGGCCTGGGCCCCGAGCAAGTTGTTGAAATCGGAGAGCTAGTCATGTTGAAGCGGGATGCAGAGAGGAGACGCATCGAGTGTATGGCTAGTAAGAAGATGGAAGATGAGGGCCTCGACGTGGATGGTGTCGAGCTGGGCGAGTGCGAGGCGGCGAAGAAGAAGAGACGAGGTGGGAATGGGAAAGAGAAGGATAAACACCACGAGAGTAAGGACAAGGCGCATGAAAGGCTGATAGAGTGGTTAGTCAAGGGTAACGTAATATACAAAAGCGTAGGATTGGGCCTGATGGATGTCGTGGTCGGTGGGGAGCTGGTCAATCTGGCGAATGCACGAAACATTGGTACCAGGATCGATAACTTTTAGAATGAGTTGCCTCGACCGTACCCAGGCATAGGACTATCCACAGAACACTCTTGTGAGTGCAGCTAGCTTCAACTGAAGCGGCAAGCCCAACAAATATATCACTACCTGATATGCAAAAATTTAGCCAACAACATCACATCACATGATTAGTGTAGAATTGGCGTGCGTTATCAAATCGATTCCAGTCAATGTAGTCGTTAGCGACTTCTTTTAACCCTCCTAAACTCCGTTGGTATTGTGAACCGCATACATGCAGAGATAAGAGACACGCCATAAAGTCATCATGAACCCTTCCAAACACCCCAAGACATGCTTAGATCTTGATGGCGTTCTCAACAGCCTTCCTGCGCTTCTCCATGCGAGCGTTGGCCTTGGCACCCATGATACCACCACCCCAGTGGCGGGAAGCCTCCTTGTGGTGTGACTCGAGGTAACCGTCGTTGACAGCGGTGACGAGCTTCTGGAGCTCGTTCTTGTCCTCGGAGCGGACCTCGGTCAGGGCCAGGACGGCAGCGGTCTTCTGGTGGACGACCGTACCGAGACGGGCCTTGCCCTTGACAATGACGTATGGGACACCCATCTTGCGGCAGAGAGCTGGCAGGAAGATGACGAGCTCAATGGGGTCGACATCGTTGGCGATGAGGACGAGCGAAGCCTTCTTGTTCTCAATGAGGCCGACAACGTGGTTCAGACCGTACTTGGCGACATAGGGCTTCTTGGAAACATCCTCCTTCTTCTTGCCCTCGGCAACGGCGGTGGCCTCCTTGGTGAGCCTCTCCTTCTTCTCGGCCTTGGTCTCGGGGCGGTACTTGTTGAGGAGCTTGAAGGACTGGGTGGCGCTGAATGTGGGTGTTAGCGATTGAAGACGAAAAATGGCAGTGGGTAACGTACAGGTTACGGTCGGCAACGTGCTGGAACTGAGCGATGCTGGATCAAAGTCAGACGTGGGCCATTGTATAAGGTTTATTTGTGGGAGACGAACGAAGGAGGGACCTTCAGGCGCATGTTGAGGATCTTCTTCTGGCGCTGAAGGCGGACGTAGGCTGGCCATCGGACCATGCGGCCGAGGTTGCGCTGGGGCTGGATGTCCTGGCCGATGCCATAGTTGCGGGGCCTCTTCTCGATGAGAGGGTTCTATCTTGGTTAGCTGAAAAGTTTTCCATGGAACTGGATGTGCGCAATTGAATTGAGTTGATGGTTAGAAGGTAGAGAGGGCGAATGGAAAAGCTTGTGCTCAGCAGCAAAGGCAGTATTTGATACGAATGGAGAGAGAGGGGGACTCACCTTCTGCTTCTTCGCCGCAGCCGACTTAGAAGTGGCCTGGGGGAAAGCCGCAGGCTTCTTACCGCTTCCTTTTGGTGGCATTTTCTGTCATAGAGAACAAACCATTAGCGAATGTTCAACGCATTTTCGGTTTGAATCTCGTAAGAGCGAGAAGGCCTTGCGACCGTTCTACAACTCTAGCCATCCTCACGCCTCGTACTCATGCATATGCAAAGAGATGCGGCGGAAATGCTAACGAGCATTCATTATGTGGAAGTGCGCTTACGTTGTGTGTTGGCGGCGGTCGACGAAATTGACGTTGGCGAAATTGGGCTTGACGAAGAAATCGAGAGCGGGCACAGAAGTCGCTCCTACCGAAATCCACGCGAAGCGAGTGGGCGCGGAGGTGGAACAACCTTTGGCCGACGCTAACGCCCTACCCAATCGGAGTGCGGCAAGTCCCTCTACCACGACATCCCGAATCGCAACATGAAGAGCGCATCCGAGTCTTCTGGACAACGCTCAACTAGTCGCTTGGTTTCATTGTTTTGTCTGTGGAAGACAGCTCTCCTAACACTTGCAGCCTTCTGTCCAGGCCCTGGGTACGATACATCAGGACTCATACTCCTGGATACAAGCGTGCAGCGCCACGACCATTTCAATGTCTATACACGCTTTGAGCGATTCGTACTTAATCTGCTCCGATGGGACGCTTTGTACTTTGTAAAGTCGGCTGAGCGTGGGCTGATCCATGAACAAGCATGGGCTTTCAGCGGGGCGTACTCGCGTCTCCTCAACATAGTAACGGGTCAATGTGAGTAAGAAGCGGCTACTATTTCCGGACGAGTGCTGATTGCCAGCAGTCGTGAGTGGAAGCGTAACACCTCCGCTTCACTACTACGTGCTGGCTGGTATCATTGTTTCCAACGCTTGCCACCTCATTTCTGTGCTAGTGCTGCATCGTCTCCTGACCCTGGTTCTGGAACCGCAACAACAAAAAACGATTCCCTTTGTTGCGGCCATTCTGCATGTTTTGACACCTGCATCTCTGTTCATGTGTGCGCCATATGCAGAGGCTATCTTCTCTCTCCTGAATTTTACGGGTATGCTTCTATACGCTCAATCCAGGACCATAGCTAGAAGCACAACCTTTTCGATCCAGGAAGACATCCAGAAGGTCGGCGCTGGCCTCTTTTTCGCCACCGCAACCCTTATGAGAAGCAATGGCTTGCTTAGCGGCACCATACTATTGTACGATGTCGTGAGATATCTTTTTGCCCTTAAGTCTACCCAGCGAAGCATCCATGACGTAAGGCGGATCCTCGTCACTTGTATTTCGGGTAGTCTGATAGCCATTGCCTTTATCGGGCCGCAGTATCTTGCGTATACAGAGTTCTGCAATGGAGAGAGTGGCACTGGAATCCGACCATGGTGCGAGAAACGCCTCCCAAGCATCTACTCGTGGGCACAAAGCCATTACTGGTAAGTGACCTCCATGAGATGCTTACTGATCTAACCTTTCTTCAGGAATGTGGGACTTTTCCGGTACTGGACTGTATCGAATTTGCCCCTGTTTATGCTAGCAGCACCGATGCTATGGCTTCTGTTTACCTCTAGTGTCACCCTTCTCCGCAGCTGCGCTGGGGACCTGTTGCGTACAACCCCTGTCTCTGGAGCCAGCGTTACGCAGGATGCAGGTTCTGCCATATGCAAGCTACCTGAATTGGCACTTCCACAATTATTCCTGGCTGTCTCGGCTGTCACAACTTTTCATGTTCAGATTGTCAATCGCATCGCCTCAGGCTATCCTGTTTGGTACCTGATGGTTGCGACATGGGCGATAGACTCGCAGGGATCGTCTTCCACAAAGAACCTATCGTCGAGGGCACAATGGTTAGTTCGCGGTATGGTCATTTACTCGCTAGTTCAAGGGATGCTTTATGCGAATTTTCTCCCGCCAGCATAGATTTCTAGATCAATTGCCTTGCTTAGTGAAAGACGGGATTTTATTGAACTCAACCATGGTATTTTTTTGATAAATTAAGGAACCATAATGCAGCCTTTTATAGCCTTGAAAGCTCTTTCGGTTGATCGAAACGGTCTTGGGCTGAGATTTCACCCAGCAAGATGAGCAAGATCAACATGCTGGGTCATCGAACGTGCAGTCGAGGTGTGACGGGGTTAACTCGTTATCTCTATCCTCCACACTATATGTTGATAAATGAGTACCGGGATTCGATGAACAAAGATGTAACATAGCTGCGCAAACACGGTCGCGCAGATATTGGTGGCATTCAAAAGCGTGTACTCTAACTATTGAGCAGTCCAACTCCCCGCGTTTGGTGCGACACACTCTGCTGCCATCCAAGTGCGCCCAATTCCAAGCCATATTTCTGGTACCGCCAAGGCTCTGTACTAATGTGCCTTTGGAGTTACCAATGGAGCGTCAGCTGGTATGCGGGTATATCCCAGTGCTATGGCTCTGGATTTCCCCCCACCACGCCCAGTGCTGCTACTATACATTTTTTTGACAAAAAGTCAGGTAGCAGTAGAGACGGCATCCTACAGAAAAAAAACGTCTCGTATCACAGCTCGAAGCGAAGGGTTGTCAGCAAACACGACCTTTGATGCTAAAGTATTGCACGGGCCTGCAGTTCGTGCAACAATTTCATGCACATTCATCTTACTCTGGGATTCATCAAGACATGAGATTCCCGTATTTGTGGCTGTGGCGTGCCATGGACGCTGTATCGAGCAGTGGGCATCAGCCTGCTTCTGCTTACTGTAGAGTGCCCGCTTGGCAATATACATAGTACCTGCATAAGGTGCAGAAGCCAAGTGCCCTGGCGGCGCCTTTCGTTGACAGCCTAATCTCTAACCAAGCAAGAATACGACGTGGCGTCGTGGTCGTGGGCTAGTCGGCTTGCAACGTCCGTTGATTATGACCAGCGCCTCGACCGCCACTGGCAACACTGGAGCAACACATCCGGCGCTCGAGTTCGGCGTATGTCGCTCGAGGGTAATACGCCTCGACTGAGACTTGCAAGAAGGCGTCAACTGGCACCGGACCAGCGCCAGAGGGTGGATCAAGGTTGGTATGTTTTTGGACTGATGAGGGTAAGACTTCAATAAACAGTATTTCAGGTACCAGGCCTGAAGTACAACGGGACAGATGTATAAATTCTGCTCTACGGCTCGATAATCGTGGTTGGGCACGCAGCATTGACTGTACGATATCTACAATCGCAAATTGCCATCAGAGCCAAGATGAAGTTGTCTACCTTTGCTACCCTCCTTGCTCTCTCGACGGCTTTAGCAGCCGTGCTGGAACCCAGACAACAATGCTCCACATCGGACGCTTGTTACAGTGCCGTCTTTGGCGATGGCAGCATGTCAAGCGTAGTTCGGGCAGTGGAGGATTGTGAGGACTTTCTCACTACCAGTGTGATTTGGCACCCCATGTACGTGAACGCACCTCTTTGAGATATCTACTTGGGAGCTCAGACTGATCATGTTTACTGTAGTATCACCCTTACGGTTCTCAGCCAGACCATCTCAACGACGACTCCACCATGCCCACCCACTGTGCCCGTGACACCAAGTGAGGCACCGCCCCAGTCGACAGTGTCGCAGGGCAAGCAACTTGTGATGCGCCAGGCTCTCCCTACAGATTTCTCCACAACAACCGTGTTTGGACTGCGGCCTTCGTATGCCACACAGGCCTGTAACTCTGGGGCCTACTCGTCTGCCTGCTCTTGTGCAAACATTACTACCGCTTTGGTATCGTATCTTGGAACTGTAAGTAAGCTCGTATATGTGGAGGGAGACTGGACAAAAAAAGAAAGTGTTTAGAATGCTAAATTATTGCTAGGTTGTGACGAATACAGCCACGACAACGATTACTTCGACTGTGACCACCAGTGGGTCTTGCCCAGGTGTCTCTGTGTCTTCTGCATCGTCTACTTTGGCTTCGTCGTCTTCAACACTGTCCAGTAGCAGCGCAGTGTCGAGTGTGGCCTCTTCTGGCAGCACAAGCAGCTCATTATCTAGTTCGACTTCGTCGTCACAATCTAGTAGCAGCGACAGCAGCGCATTATCGAGTTCAACGGCATCCTCAACTGGGTCAAGCAGTGCCTCTGTTAGCAGCGCATCCGTTAGCAGCACAGGCAGCACCTTGTCTAGTTCAGTCACGTCCTTGACTGAAAGCAGTAGCTCATTTGTTAGTAGCACATCAGCCAGCGCGACAAGCAACTTTAGTAGCTCGAGTGTTACAGCAACGGGACCAAGCTCATCGCCTACAAGTCTGAGCAGTCTATCTAGCACTGGAAGCGAAGTTGGTCCGTCGACCATGGCGAGCAGCTCAGTGAGTAGTTCAGCAAGCAGTTTGAATGGCACGTCGTCAGGTACAAGTGTGACAGCTACTAGCAGTGCATCAGTATCAACGGACAGCTCGTCTAGTAGTTTGAGTGGGCCGTCTTCAGCGACGAGTGTGGCGTCTAGCACTGGCTCATCGACATCTCCCAGCAGCTTATCCAGCAGTTCGAGTGGGACAAGCATGGTTCCGACCAGCAGCTCTTCGGCAACGTCGAACAGCTCATCAGTTGTCCCAAGTAGTGCATCCAGCACTTCGAGCAGTTTGATCAGCATTTCGAGCAGTCCAACTGCTACTTCTGAGAGCTCTTTGGTGTCTTCGAGTAGCCCGTCTTCATCGTCGATTGTGGCTACAAGTTCGTCAGACAATATTACATCATCAGCAACTGCTTCTATCAGCAGCAGCAGCGTGACTTCCTCTCAACTATCAAGCAGTAGTTCATTGTCGGATTTGGCTAGTAGTAGCTCAAGCTCGTCGACGGTTAGTAGTGTGTCGGTTAGTTTGAATAGCAGCAGCAGCAGTATGCCATCGTCATCGTCTCTTGCCTCATCCGTATCGAGTACGTCGGCGGCGTCTTCAACGACAGTCACGTCAACAAGCGCATCGACAAGCAGCGCAACGCCGAGCGGGCAACCGTGTGAGGGGCTTGGGGTGGAGCGATGCGAGGGTGTGTGCCGCGACACGACGTCGGATGCACTGAACTGCGGGCGGTGCGGCAATGCGTGCACAAGTGGGCGGCAATGCATCAACGGCGTATGTGCATCTCGGCCCTGCGACTCGACGTGCAACTTTGACCGACTGTGCGGGTCAGGCAGCGGGGGGTCGACACGGTGCATTTGCGCGACGACGATTGAGGGCAACGGAGTATGCTTTGACAAGAACCGGTACAGTTGCGGCGACGTCAACCTTGTGAGGTGCCAGAGAAGCGTGTTCGGACCAGAGGGGTGCCCGATTGGGTCGGTGTGTGTAAGGGACGTGTGCAATTGTGGCGCCGTGCCGGCAGCGGGCATTTGTGTGTCTACAAGTGGATGTGGGGATTCGGGGACCAATATCTTGGGGAGCCTGGTCAGGATTGGGGAGATGGAGAGGCGCAGGAGGGCGGCGAGGGGCGTGGGAAAGTAAGGCATGGTGAAGGAGGGGGACAAAGAGGAGAAGGCATCGTGAGGAGGGGAGATGGTGAGTGTTTGTGGTGGGGGTGCACGGGGTTTGTTGGTTGCTTGTTGCATGCATAGCATACAGACACAAATGGAAGATGAGTGAGTATAAGTAATATGTGCACACACATATATAGACAAGCGATGCAGGCAGAGGCAGGCACCAGGTTACAGGCTGCAGGCGCGGGATCGGGGGCAGGTGCTAGCGACAAAGAGGGCATTTTGTTGTTGTTTTTATTATTATTTGTTGTCGATGGGAATCGAAGCAGGTGGCCGAGGCATGAATTTGCACGTCGATAAGAGTTAGTGGAATGACGGTGGCATGCATGGGCGTTTGCTCCACGGGCTTGCAGGGCGGCCAGGACATGCTCTCCGCGTTAGCGCGGCGTTGCTGGGACGATTGCCCGCAATGTTTATCCACCAACTCGGCAGGGCATAGCCGGCCCATGCAGCCAGTGCAACCACAACCACATCCACACCCACCACCAACACCACCACCATCATTTGTCTGCCATGTCTGCCATTCTGCTGCCCTAGACCTGTTCATCCCGTTTCAACTTCCCCCCTCCCCCTCCTCTCCTTTTGTTGCCTTCTTCTTCTTCTTGCCCGGAGCCTGACCTCAAGGCCGCGCCGAACATGGCTGCTGCTACCACCACTGCCGCCGCCGCGGGTGCTGCTGCCGCACAATCACCAGCCCCAACAACAACGGGCCATCGCCGTAATCGCTCCGCGGTCCTGAGATCTTTTATATCATCCAGGGGCCACAGGCGCTCGCCCACCGAAGGCTCTGCCATCCCATACACACCCGTGTCCGCTTCGCCGCCCTTCCTGCCCGCCCCCAGCCTCCAGCCACCACTGCTCCCGCCAGACCACCCTCACAGCGCCAGCCAGTCGTCACCCCGCAAGTCCAACGACAACCGCTCCACAAGCACCAAGAAGAGCCTGCACAAAAAGTCGCTCAGCTCTGTGTCGCTGCGATCGCTGGCAAAGCGTGCCGACGACAAGCCCAAGGAAAAGAAGTCGTCTGACTTGAGGCGGTCGCAGGACGAACCAGAAAAATCCCCCCGCCCCAAGTCGTCCACCAACCTGGCTGCCATGTTCAGCAAGGCCAAATCCCGAGACCGCTCCCCCAACAAGGAATCGAGAGACAAAGAAAACACTGAGCCGTCCCGCGCCGCATACGCGCCACCGCCCCCTCCCACTCCCATCTGGGCAGAGTTCAGTTCCCAGTCCGCCATGCCCGCTGCCTCCAATACCCCTCTGGACAGTCGTCCCCGCACCAGCACCGAGGGAGGCCTTGGCCGATTCCCTCCAGCTGACTACTCGCCCACCAAGCAGCGCAACTTCTTCGAGTACGGTCAGCCTGCGGTGCGAAACCCCGCCACCAAACAGCGGCCCAAGTCTATGTTTGCCGCCAGCTCGTCCACCACCTCTCTGCTCCTTGACACATTCTCCCGCAAGAGGAGCAACGAGCGCATGCCCCTGTCCGACACACAGGGCAATGAAGGCCGCTTCAGAGACCCTTCTCCCAGCAAAAGCAAATCCACGAGGCCAGCGCTTGGTAGAGCTAGTACCGACAGCGGCAGCAAGGACTTCAGTGTCAAGCCCATGGCACCGCCCCCGCCCCCAGCCTCACCAAAGAAACAAAACAGAGTCATGGCCGCCGTCGCTGCCTTTAACGGCAAGGCTAAGCAGGCTGACGGCCCCCCAACCCCCACTGTCAAGCACGACCCCAAGGTCGTCGATGCTGAATTCGAAGAGGTTCTCGTAAGTCTTGTTACTTCCCCGACCTGCTCGTGTGCTCACCTCCGCAGGAATCGCGAAATATCCCTACCCACCAACGTGCGCAGATGAGAACATTGAAACTCGAAGTCAAGGCCGACTTTGTGCGCATGCACAAGCTCGACACTCCTCAAACTTCGCGCAGCTCGTCTGGCACCGCTTCCGCCGGGGAAACCACCAAGCCGGCAGCACAAAAGACGTCCAAGTCGCGGCACGGATCTCCTGTGGATGACGCTGACCTTGATGCACAAGCAGATCCGTCTGGCTACTCGACCAAGCGCGAGCGTCCAAGGAGTAGGACATTTACCTTCAACAGAAATGATTCACCGACCAAGAAGCAGAAAGGCGACTTGGGTGAGCGCAAGACGTCTGCCAAGACTGCAACCATCCCAAAGTCTCCCTCTATGCGCTCCTTGAGGTCTAATCATTCAGAACGTTCCGTGTCCAACGGTGCCAAGTCAGTCAAAGCTGACGAGTTTATTGCTTACTTGAAAAAGACGCCAAAGCCCCAAAACGTCGAGGTTGGCAAACTGCACAAACTTCGCCTGCTCATTCGCAACGAGACAGTTGACTGGGTTGACAATTTCATCCAGGATGGTGGTATGACTGAACTGGTAGGCCTCCTCCATCGCATCATGGAGATCGAATGGCGCGAGGATCACGAAGACACCTTGCTTCACGAACTGCTTCGCTGCCTCAAAGGACTTTGCACCACTGCAACGGCCCTAAAGCAACTCAAGGAAATCTCCTCCACGCTCTACCCAGCTCTGCTTGCCATGCTTTTTGATGAGGAGCACAAAGGCCCGAGTGAGTTTACTACGCGTGAGCTCATCATCGAAATCATCTTCGCACACCTCTCTATGGCTCCAGAGGCCGAACTGGGAACTCGTGCTGCCGAATTGATGAAGTACCTCAAGGATCCCGTAAAGGAGAAGGAGACATCAACAGTCCCCTTCATCCTTCAAATGCATCAGCCGCGTCCATACCAAGTTTGGTGTAAAGAGCTGTCCAATGTTACCAAAGAAGTCTTCTGGATATTCATTCACCATTTGAACGTAGTTCCAGTCCCACCAAGACCAACAGAGGGCAGGTCGTATGCCAAGACTCATTTCCCAGGCCAGCGAGCTATTGTCCCAGCAGCACCCTATGTCGGTGGTGTAGAATGGGATGCTACCAATTACCTCGCCACTCACATTGATCTCCTCAACGGAATCATTGCCTCCATACCCACCCGCTCTGCTCGCAACCAATTCCGCCAGGAGCTCAAGGTTTCTGGCTTCGAAAAGGTCATGGGCCACCTTCGTGCTTGCAACCCCAAGTACTATGGCGCAGTCCACGACAGCGTCAAAGTATGGATTGGGGCTGCCCTTGAAGATGACTGGGACGTCAAGACTGTGCGTATGGGTGCCGGTGAAAGCAAGAGCAGTGCCAGCCCTCTCAAACAGAGTCCCAAGAAGAAGGTTGAGGCCCCACCTCAACTTCAGGCACCCCCCAAAATGGACATTGGCCTTGGCTTAGGACTAGGTTTTGACAGGGAAATCTCCATTGGTCACTCGAAGAAGGTCGTTGACGACGACTGGATCTGATGTGTTTGATCGGTACCTGACGTTGAAAAACGTTATGCATTCGATTGTGCTGAGATTGCGCAATCACTTCCTGGCCGTTTTTGGTCTTGGATAGAATGATCAGCATATCTTGTTCAGGTTGGTGATACAGCAACAGTTACGACACCCTTGAGCCCACCAGCGTCAGAATCATGACCAGCCAAGGCACAGCAAAACATTGTGGGCGCACATTTATTACGGAGTCTGTTGGTTTGTCTTTTCCTACGGACTTTGCATTGGCGCCATGGAGCTTTCTACTCACTCGCCTCATCTCAACATCTGCATTCCTTCTCAGGCGTTGTTCCCTCGTTCTCCGCGGCCCCCTTTGCTTACTTTGGACCTGGAGCAACAAGCGTCTCTATTTATGACTTCCTTCTCTCTCTCTCTCTCTGTGTACCTCTTCATCTCAATGTCTCTCTCTCCATCACCTTGTTAGCAATGAAAAACACGACCTTGACGACCCGAGACGGCTGGTGTTTTTTATTTTATTTACCCTTTCTCCCGGACCTTTGTTTATTTATTTTTTTCTCACTGTACCTTTTTGTGCCTTGTTTTCATTCGTAATAGGATGAGCAAAGGGGTTAGGGTAAATAAATTCTGTACTACACGAGATGAATTTGAAAGCAATTGAACAAACACTACAGTAGAATGCCATTATGTGCTTACTTGTTCTTGGTTTCCAGCGAGCCAACTAACAGATAATATAAGTACCCAACGGAGGACGTAAAGGTAAAATAAGTAGATGATCCAAACAGGATATCATATGGGTATCTATTTCACCACCGTTATTTACGCCTAAGCCTTGTTGTTTCACACGTTAACCCTCCTACTTTACATGGAAAGAAAAAAGACAGACGGGAAACCCAGAGGCCTACTAGTCTAGTTACAAAAAAGCCTTACCCTGCATAACCCCATGCCGCTAAAGATTAGACGGTGACAACGAGGGGACAAAAGAAAAAAGAAAAAAAAAGGGGGCGAGCGACTAGAAGGCATTCGAACCAAAAATCACGCCTTTTTCTTGCCTTTTCTCCTCGCCTTGTTCTTCCCCACTTCAACACTCGCACCCTCAACCTCACCCTCTTCCAACCCCAACACCGCATTCCCTTCCATTTCCTTCAACTTCTCCTGGCCACTAATGAAAAAACTCAAATCACGATTCTGTTCCTCGAGATCTGCTTTGGCTGCTTCCAGTTCGGCGACGCGCTGTTCGGCCTCTTGGGCTTTGAGCTCCAGATGCTTGATGCGCTGCATGAGCGACTCGTTGACAATCTGCTCTTCCTTGTACTGCTTGGTGAGTTTGCGAGCGAGGTCGGATGCCTGTGCTGCTTTTTGGGCGTTGCGGGCGGATTCTTTGGTTAGTGAGGCGATTGTGGCGGTTGCTTCTTGGTGCTCGGTCGAGAGCTGGTTGAGTTTTTGGGATAGAGCGGCTACGCTGCGTGTTGCTTCGTCGGCTGAAGTGGCGGCTTTGGCGGCCTTGTCTACGGCACGCTCAAGTTGCTCTTCAAAGTATGCGCGTTGTGATTCGAGCTGGGAGGTGAGGAGGTAGGCGTACTCCATGCCCATGTTGTCCAGCTTCTCGCGCGGGACCGTGTCGTTGGCGTAGCCCGTCATACCAGGCGCGCTGAATGACTGGTTTGAAGCAGGCATATCCACAAGTTTACCATCGGCTTTGTTTTGTATGAGTCGATGAACATATCCGTCGCCTGCATAGTCCCAGACATGCTGCGTCACTACGTCCATGGCATACGTATGGCTTGTGGCCTCGTAATGTGCGAATGCATGCGCCGAATCATAGCGGCCACATCCTATGTTACCGCAGATGAGACAGATCCAGAGGTTCTGCGTAGATCCACAAACACTACATTCATTGTCTGGACTGTCACCATCAGCGCTGTGGTGCGAGGTAAAGGCGTCGTTTTGTGTATATCGACAGACTGGACAGCCTGAGCCTCGCCATTTCTCAAGACAGGCACAATGAAAGACGTGCTGGCAGAGTATCGTGAGCAGGCCCGTTGTTTCGTCCATCCTCTCCAAACAGACAGGACATGTCGGCAGCTCTACTAGAGCCGGTGTAGGTGGAGCGTGTGGCTTTGCAGTCAGTGATGATGCTATTGATGGGCCATCGACTGGCGAGGAGACAGTAGTCGCTGGCGGAAGAGGGGCTGTGGGCTGTTTTGTTGCAGCGGGCGCAAAGGGATCGTTCGTAAGGTCTGGGTACGAAGTCGGGTCACGGTTTGAGTCGCCGTTTTGAAAGTTGATCGACTTGACAAAGACGACATGACAGTATTCAGGCTAGGTCTGGTTAGCAACTAAAATGATATGCATTCGTCCAGTTATTGTCATCTCACCTCCATGCTGTTGAAAGGCTTGCCGTCCCACTCTTTCCTCCACTCACGCGCCCTCTTGGCCTCACGAAATTTCATGAGCACCATGTACTTGTTGGCTCTGCTGGTCCTAATGAGTCTGAAATGTGAGACATACTCCCTCGTCTGCTCACCCATGAAGCCCAAAAAGTCCGACGGCGTCATGTATGAAGGGACCGCCAGTATACACAGCGTTGTGCAGTCTTCCTCATTGAAGGTCTTGTCCCCTCGATCCACCTCATCGTACAAGCCCGGTGTCTCTTGCCCATCCCGATACAAGTGCACGACCCCCCAGCCGACTTCTGTATCTTTCAGGTCAGAGGGTATGAATTTACCCTTTGTCGCTAAACCGCCAGGATTGGGCGCATGCGATGGGTGCTTGAGGGACTTTGCGCGAGACGGGGCGAGCTCAGTGTCATCGGCCTGGTTCATGTCGATGCTAAGAATGGAGATGGTATCGAAGCGCCAGTCTCTGTGTGCAAAGCTCTGCGTCCGTCGGTGCGCAGGCCTCTTTGGGGGTTTGATGACGGGCACAGGGCTGTCGTGGTGATCCGAGAAAGATGGCCGGGTGCGCTGGCTGAGTCGGCGAGAAGTAGCCCGTTGCTCACGAGAGGTGGAGGGTCCGCTGTGTGTGCGCGACGAAGGCGATGATGGCAAAGGAAAAGAGCCCCAATAAGCCCTTTGGTGTACCGGGAGCTCCGAATGGAAAATGTCAGTCTGCGGTGGTGGAGTAAACGTCTTGTCCGGCGATGAGCGCGAGGGGTAAAGCTCGAAGGTAAGGTGAAAGAAATAGGTCGGCATCACAGTTTTTGGACTGGAGTCTGCATTTCGGATGTGCTGTCACGGCGAGTAGCTGACGTGATTTTGCAGCGGCTTGACATGCGACCGGATTGTTTGCGACTTGAGCTACATGTATGAAAATGTGTATGTACAGATGCATGTATATATAAATGGTTGCAGTTGCGGCGGCAGTGGGCTAATAGCGCGTCATACCGCTTGGACTAAAAGTAGCGTGCCGACCATCGGCATCAACTACCCCACGCCCTCCGTTCCTTTAGGGTAGATGAATACATCACAAGCAGTACAAGGCGCAGGGACTTGATAATTAAACTGATGTATTTGACATGGTTCTGTGCCCGTACAAGCCACAGGCCTCGTCATGATCCTCATGTCGATGGTAACCTCTTAGCTCCCGCCAAATGCGGACCGTAACTAGCAATGTCGAAAACGCCCTAGCTATGCATATATAACAAACAAAACGCCCATACTCCTGCATGTGTGCATGTGCAAGCATCCTTCCCCACACCTTGCTGTGTGCCAAAAGAACCGGCCAAGGCTGTGCCTACACTAGTCCATGCCACATTACTACCTGAAATAATAAAACTCGGATGCCGTGTCATCAATTCGTTCGCCAAAGTGCGGTTTTGGGTATCGCTTTTGTACAAGTGGAAACATTCGCGCCAGCCCCAAATGATATGCTGTTTGTGTCTGTGTTTCGTGTCTAGGCCTAGGCCTGCTCTGCATCCATAGGCTCTGCATCAGTGACATCTTCAATCTCATGGCCCTTGGAATTAACAACAATGCGCCGTCCTCGCTGTTCAGCGGGAACACCGTCGCGTGAAGCGCCAAAATCGAGAACCTGTTGCAACGTTAGCCGGAAAAGAAGAAACCAGCTCCTACGTCTGCTTACCTCGATATACGTCATGCTATTGCGCTGAACAGCAGCGACACAGCGCCGCTCGTTGAACTTGACCTGCCACACGCCGCTCAGGTCGGTCAACAAATCCTTAACAAACTCTCCAGTCTTGACATTCCACATCTTCAGAGTGCGGTCAGAGCCAGATATGACCTTTTGCCCGTCGTGCTGGAAACAGGTAATGGCACCGGTATGAGCACAAAGTCGACTCTTGCACTGTCCATTTTCCGGATCCCAAATGCGGAGAGTGGAGTCAGCAGCCGCAGATACTAGGCGCCCGTGGCTCAGGTCGAGGAGACCAACCAGAGAGGTGTGCCCCTCAAGCGTGAATATACAGGCACCTGTCTCCAGGGACCAGACCTTAACCATGTTGTCCATAGAACCACTAATGCAACGATTCCGAGCATGGTCAAGGACAACGCTATAGACCTTTTGTGAATGACCCTGAAGACGCTGGAGAACTTCTCCGGTCGAAATTTTCCATACCCGAACAGTACAATCGTAACTACCGCTCACCAGAGTGTCCCCGTGGGCAGCAATAGCGCGTACCGAATGATGGTGCCCAGTCAAAGCGCGTATGAAGTAAGGGTTATCATGGTCGTTTGCAGATGCTCCAGTTTGCATAACGCTCCGATCACCCGGCTTGGGAAGTTTCCATACACGAAGCGTTGAATCGCGTGAACCGGTGATAATGAGCTCCTCCTTTGGCATCATGATGGGTTGGCCATCGATGGTCTCGCCAATATGCGTTGGCTTGAGGATCACCAAGCATCGGACGGTCGATGTGTGACCCTGGAACACGTGTGTGCACTCTCCTTTGTCAATGTCCCATACACGGACTGAGCGATCGGTAGAGCCGGACACCAGTGTGTTGCCTTCGTACTGAAGGGCCCATACGCCACCTTCATGTCCCTCGAGACGGTTACGCAGTGCTCCTGTCTTGGTATCGTAAACATTGATACTTGTATCATCACTGCCAGTAAGTATTTTGTCTGTATCAAACTGTAAGCAGGTCACAACGTGGCGTTGATGCGCACGGAACGCAATGTGTTTTGGCTTAGTTTCTTCAGCCATCCAGCTCTTGCGTATGAGGTGATGCCTTTGGTACAAGGATTTGAAGAGATGCATAGCGCGTAGACTAGGTAAGCCCACGTTGGGGTCCGAGATGGCAGCTTCTGCACGCTTGGCGAAAGCGTGCGGTCCTTCATGAAGATCGGCGGGACGCAAATACAGGGCCGTCTGGGTCTTAGTCGAGGCTCGATTCTTGCGTTGCTTCTTGCCGCTGCCGCTGCCATGTTTGCTGGTAGCCTTCCTCTTTTGGCGCGTTGATGAGGATCGTGTCACAGCACCTTCTTGGTCTTGTAGGCCACCGGACAAACTTGAGCTCGGAAAACCTGAAAAGCCTTCGTTGTCGGACCGGGAAGTGATCGACTGGGCCCTCAAGTCACACTCATAACTATCAGCCGAGTGAGGATATTGCCATCCCCAACCTTCCTGCACAGCTCGTTCCAGCTCGCCGTGCGGCAGCCTGTAACCGTCCCTGTCAAGTAGATCCTTCCAGGCAGACTCATGAGTGTCGATTAGCTTTCGCCAGTACTTTGATACCCGTGCAGCGCTGCACATGCTCTTGACGTCCAGATAACCGATGATCTCTAAGCTCAGCTCAGTAGGAAGTGAGGCGATAAAGTCACGTTTGAGAGCCGGGTTCACTACATCTGCAACAAAGTGCAAAGTCGGTTTTTTGCATCGTCGGAGCATTTGGTAAAGAACATACGACTTCATCTGTTCTGGCAGAGCATCGAATGAGTTGAGCATGTTTGGTATATCCATGATGGAAGGGGTCGGTAGTTGGGTATTGGAGTCATCATGGGGGAAGAGAGGAAAGTCGCCTGTGCGTGAATTGCTAGACTCGCCCTGGGAGAGATCAAGTCCGGAGAGCTCGCTTGCATCATAGTCTATGTCCATGGCCGAAAACGAGGTCCCATTGCTGTTTTGTTGGGCAAGATTTGCGGCAGCAGTGATGGGCGATAAACTGGGGCTCGGCAAGCTAGCATCCTGTACAGAATTCGTATCGAGAAGGGCAAGTCGCGAGGTAGAGAAGGAACCATGTTCAGTAAAGGGTCCGACCGGTTCCAAGTCAGATTCGGCTATTGGGGGAGTAGCAGCCACGCCAGGACCGTCAACCACTCCTGTGGGGAATGAATGTTCTGGAGAGTGTTCGCGCTGACTGGAATGACTACCTTCGGGCTGTGTAGATGCAGTAAAAGCCTCTCGGAGATGCCGCCTGGATGGCGTTCTGCCCAGTCCGAGTTGCTGCGGTGTCGGTCGTGCGCTGGGCTTGGGGAACGGGCTAGGTCGGGTTTTTGGCAGACGGGATGCGCCCATCTCCCCTTTATTTGTTTCAGGTGTAGCTGGACACGAACCTTCGGTATCTTCTGGTGCACTGTTGTGGGCCATTTGTGCAGGGTCAGTTCCCTTGTCGCGCTCTAACCTGGGTTTTTTGCTTTGGCGATGCATACCAACCAACTCGACAGCCTTGGTTATTGATGGAGGTGGAGGTGATTCGTCTGTATTGTCTCGTTTTCGTCGAGCAGACACGGAGCGTAGTCCTTGATGTGCTCGAATCTTGGGACGCGTCGTGCGGTTGGGTGTGGCGAAGACTGGAGATCCATTAAAAGATTCGACTTTCTGAACTTTTCCCTTTGATCGGAGGGCTTCCTGGAGTGATCTCTGCTGCAAGTAGGGCGTCAGTTATAAACATAGTAACTAAAGAAATGGTGACGTGCGCAGCTGTAACGCGAAAGGCGTCGGCTGCATGCATGTCCCTGGAATTGTCGAAGGCGTACCTCTTGCACCCGCTCCGATGCAGCCTCTGCTTCCTCAAAGCAAGCCAGTTCGCCTCCAGATTCAAAATAGAACTTGCGTATCGACTCCGGTGCTTGGACATGGGCCAGTGGGTAGTCTTTCGGGTCTCGTTCAGCCAGGCTTCCGGGGGCGTTGACACAGAGGGGCGGAAAAGTGGTGGTTGTGGTATACGTGGTTGTGACTACTGTGGTCTTTGTCGCTGGGGCGAGCGAGAACTGTGCCATGGTGGTGTAGGGGTCTGGGGTTTCGTGTAGCACCGTCTTGGACACGCCATCAGCACTGGGGCCGGAGTCCTTCGAGGCAGAGGCCATGTTGCAAGACGGCGACGGGCTTTAGCGATAGAAGTGCGCGTCGTCGTCGCTCTGCGTGAGGGGGATCCGCAGTGGGGGAGGGGCAGGGTTTGGGTGGCTGATAGGCAGCCTTGGTAGCGGTGGTGGAGAAGGAGGAGGTGGTGGTGGTGATGGTGACAGGCGTGCGGGAACCAAAGCACGCGATGGGTCGAGGAGGAGCAGCAAGACGCGGGAGAGAAACAGTGGGGTTAGTAATCGTGCATGTCGCCAACCGTGACCGGGACGCGGGCTTGGTCGGGGCGGCGATGTGTGGTAGTTTTGTGGTGGGTGTTGGCAGGCGTGTTGCCGCTGGCCGAGACGAGATGGGATGGCCGGCAAAGTCGAGGCGTGCGGCGGGAGGTCGAGAGCGGAAACAGGCCACGTAGCAGCGAGAGCGGAACAGCGAGAGAAGAATCTCGTATGGCTCAGAGGAGGGGACTGGGTGTTGTGGGCTGGCACGGTGGTGGGGTTTATGGAGAGTAGACGAGCGAGCAAAGGCATGAGCACTTGCAGGGCGGGCTGGTCTAGCTCGGCCTAATCCTAATCTTGACTTCCCGCCTTGTCAATTTGGTGCCGCATCACCTCACGGTAAGTAGATGCATATGTAGTATTGACACCATGCACCAGACCAGCACCACCGCGCCTTTGATTGCACTGTTTGTCCAGCCTGTACATGGTTCCATGCACCAGCCAGGCCCAGCTGTCCTTGTTCGCAGCGCGTGCCCTCGTGTTTGGCCTCTTCCCCGAGCCATGGTCTCCGAGGCGCATACCTCTTCTGCCTCGTTTGCATCCTGACGCCATTTGGCCAACCGCGCTGCCGCGGCAAGAGACCGAGAAAAAAAATCCCCACCAGGCGCCCGTCTCGATGTGCTGTCCGAACAAGACACGCGTGAAGCAAGCACGGCCACAAGAGGCCGCCACGCCGCACGTGGAGTGTCACGGGAGGAGTCGAGAATAGCAGGCAACCCCAAGACAATCATGCCCCGATGCATCTACTCACCCGAGCCTTTGCTTCAAGACGCTGCTTGTCCAAGACTGGAAAATGGATGCTGTTTCATGGTTTGTGTGCAATCCGCCATTGGTAATCATGATTATCATGATTGCCATTATCAGCACCATTGCCCGCTGCGCGAAGATGGCACAGCTGATGTCTGGAGCCGTCTTCGCATTCCTGCCGGGGCCACTTGATCCAGCACGGCCGTGGGGAAGCTATGCCGGGAACAAGACGTCATGCTCTACCTCAGTAGGCAGCATGCAACTGTGAAGATGGATACTCTGGCCTTATCTCACCGTCTTCCGTGTCTATCTAAGTATTTACTTGCTACATATACCCGGTCAGCCCTACCCTTTGACCGCTTTTGATTACCAATGCCCGATCCCTCTGCGTGCTGACATGGATATGTCAGTATGTACCAAGTACAAGACAGCAACACCACCCAATCGGGCTTTCATGTTCCGTCTCTGCCAGCGACGAACAGGGCCAGGCTTCACACCGCATGTGTAGGCTGCACCACCACCTGTTTGAACTGGTTGACAAAGAACAGTCAGGCGGCCAACGGATGCCGGTACTGCCGCTGTGATTGACAGCGGAGAAGCGAAAAAAAAAGTCCGACAGCGCCCAGGCGCCAGGAAGCCTAGCTGGGAGAGATGCGACACTGGGAAACGGCGTTGAGTGCATGTGACTGTCTGTGTTTGACGCTTGTAAGTAGAGTACACATATAAGTACACCTACAGGTGTGTAGAGTAATCGCATGCAGCCAGAGGCATTCAGTCCCCATCACGTGCACAGGCTGAGTAAGTATATATGTAGGTAGGTAGTATGTGGTAAGTATGCAGCTGTACTCGTGTCGCGTGGGCAGCTAGTACGCGCATACATACTTACATGCTACGTATACACAGTAGAATACTTACTACACACACATACATGCATGGGTGGGTGAGGCTCAAGTCCACGGGGCACCTGCAGAGCACGTAATGGCCTACTTACTGTGGGCCGCCCGGCGATGTGCCCATGGCGGAATCTCGCCCATCCCCCCCCTTCCCCCAAAATTTCAATGGAGCTGCGTCTGCCCACTGACACACGGCCCGCCACAACCAGGGCATCTCAGGCTCCTCGACGGGACGAGCTCCATCAGATCCAAAGCCATTGCGCATCCGGGACGGCTGAGCCCTTGATCAAGGACAAAGACGTTCATGATCATCGTGAGAAAACCCACAGGATCACCACCAGGTCCAAAGACGAGCGCTGATCGATGGTGCATGCTACATCCCCCCTGAGCATCTCCCGCGGGCCCCAGTCCCTCAACACTCACACTCTATCATGATGGTGGTGCCAACATTCCAAATCTGCACAGCTGCTCGTCAGCCACGTGGTTTCGCCCACCGTGGCCATCCGACAATGTACTTCCACAAGTATGTATGTACGAGAGTATACATGGATGCCAACTACTGTTCCTACCCGATCGGGCTCTTTTTCAATTAGGGGTATGGAGCCAGACTCTGTGGGGAAAAGAAGCGACTGCGGCGCAATTCAGGTACGACGGACGTGGAGATTGGCAAGGAATGTATTTACACATCATGCCATCAACGACAGAGGCAGGTGTCAAGGCGCTCAACAGCCTCAATTTGCCCTGGTCCATGCCTCTCCAGGGCTGGAATTAGCGCAGCGCCAGAAACGCACGGGAGCCTCGTACTGTGGTGACGGCGCAAATGCAAAGGTTCGGTACGCTGCGCTCTGGCCCGGCCTCAACCACCTGCCCTGGCTTGCCCTGGCTCCCTCAGCTCAAATCCAAATCCAAATCCAAATGCCCACTCGACCTCGCGCCCAACAGCAAACATGACGCCCGTCGCCTTGGACGCTCGCTCCACTCGCTCCACAAACTACGGCGCATTCATTCACTTAGCACCGCAACAGCGCATCCCCAAAGGCTAAATATCGCGTATACAATTGGGGTATGCATGTCTGTGATGAAGCAGTGGCTTCTGTCAGAGCCGTGCAGCCTGGCCTGGCAAGCTTGTGCAGGGGGTGATCCGCAGCTCTGCCGGCTGATACCCCTGACGCCCACTACCACGCGGATCTTACTATCAGAGCCACGGCCATGTCGCAACCCGCAGCATCCAAGTCACAAAGCCCTCGACGTTAATCTTCACACTCTATACCTGCCCGTTCGCCATTCCTTTTGTCTGTAAAGCTGCGCCCTCCCCCGCCCTCTTTTGCAATCCCACACCCTTCCTTTTCTCCCTCTGCCCCCCCTCCCCTCCCCGGTCCCCTGCTTCTTCATGGAACCGTACTACTGCCGTTCCTGCAGATAGCATTCCAACCCACGCCGGGTTAGCGTCTGGCGCAGGAAGGGCCCGCTGCTGAACCCTTGGGTTCCTCGGTCGGCCTTGTTGTACAGTCCATTAATCCACCGCATACCGCACCCTCGCCGCTCTCCCAAAAAGCAAAACACCGTCCACCCGCATGTCCTCTCGGCCCCGGTCCGCGATAGCAACAGACATGGTTTCGGCCTAAACCAGCGCCTATTCGGAATTTGGCATGACGCCGTCCGCGCGTACCGCGATTCAGTTCTTTCCACTCTGTCTCTCACTTTACTGAGTCGCGCCTACACTAAAATTGCAGCCACCAACTTTCCTTTCGGCACCCCGGCTGGCTCACGCATCATGTCTCGCAACGACCGCGGACAGAAGAAGTTCTCCTTCGCATTGCCTCGCCGCCCGCGAAGCAAACCACAAAAGCCTCACGCCGCCGCTGCCGCCACCGACGACTACGACGACTACGACGAAAGCACTCGCTCCACACCACCCTCTATCCCCAGCTCCAGACGGCTGTCCCGTCACGACGAGACAATCAGCAAGGCGCATCAGATACTCGGCACTTCCAATTCGCTACATCATTCAACCCCAGGCCAATCGCTACCGACATCGAACCCTGGATACATGTCACTGGTCATATCAGAGACAAGTACACGCTCACATCTGGACGACTGGAATACAGCATCAACAGCAGAGAGTTCACGACGACCCGCCATGTCAAAACAACCATCATCAAATGTCCTGGGGCGGATATACTCCGGAGAAAGAAAGTGGGGCTCTGACCACAGCTCAACTGGCTATCGACTACATCCTCAGGCATCCAACTCGACCATTCGATCGCATTACGATGCGAAAAACTCCCCCTTGTCCATTTCGCAACAAACATCTGACTCGGCTATCCGAGACCGCGCGTTGAGAAGAGGTCGCACTCCGGTATTGACAGATAAGGGCTATGACGGCTATGTGGCAAGTGCTGCGTCACCCGTCATCCTGGATCAAGCAAGGAAAAAGAAGGATAGTAGAAGAAGTAAACCTGCTCGCCTCGATTTGTCGAGACTGTTTCCCAAGCCAAAGGACAGTGCCAATCAACGCCACGGCAACGCAATGCTCTCACCGACCAAGATGGTCAATTCGCCCGCTGCCATGTCAATGAATTCGGAATATTTCCATCACTCTCCATCAAGAGATCGAACTCCACAAAAAGCGACAAAATTATCACATAAGAACAGCACCGGCCATTGCAATCCTTCAGGACGTCGCGGAACAAGCCCAGTCCGCAAAATCGAGCGGGATGAGTATGACAATGCAAAAGTGCACGTACGTCGACCACCAAAGGGTGTTCAACATTGGTTTGATGCGCTCGAGGACGACAGTGAAGAAACCGCAGAGGAAATGCAAAAATTCCCTGCTTCGCGGGCTGCTCACTCACATGGTGAAGTCAACCGTAATACCTCTGGTGCTCAGACCTCCCAACCAGCAGGGAACGCAGCATTCGGCTCTCGATTGCAAAATTCGACAAATGCGTACAAGAGGGACAGTTTTGCGCTCGAGGATATTGTTGATATCCGTCATCTAACTTCGCCCAGCCAGTATTCGGTCAACACATATCACTCACAGACCTCATCGAGGACCAAGGAGTCGGCACTTTCAAAGACAAATCTTCAAGACTCAAGCGTCTTGTCGTTTTCTTCTTCAGAAGATGAGGGTGACACTAATCCAACACAGTCTAGACACGCATTCAACCGTCAGAGCGTGGATAGTGCCGACTATACTGGGGATATTATGATTGGACGCGCCCAAGCGTACGAAGTGCGCTCTTTACACAATCGCCAGCATTCCGCCGGAAAAATGAGTACATATTCGACATCCACAAACGCCGCAACAATTGACATCATATATACCCCTGAGCCGCCCTTGCCCACCTATCGCTATTCGCGGAATCGCACCTACAGCGGTAGTAAACGAACCAGTCACGTGAGGCAGCCTTCTGTGATTCTTGAAGATGAGGATTCTCGGCCGAGGACCGCATTCAATGAGCCCTTGTCGCCATCGAGACGGAGTGTGGCGAGTTCCCGTACATCGGCTAGCGCACCCCAACCTTATTCCGACCCATCGCGCAAATTCATGCAGGTCACCCCTGAGGAGGAGGCTCTACTCGAACTGATGAGAAAGAAGCGTGCTGCCATGCACAAACACTGTGGATCGCAGTCACAGTCCCGGGACCCCTCTGAGACAGGTTCTGTATGCACAACGGATACCAGAGCTAGAGAGCGCACATCGTCGAACGCGTCTGCACCGCATCAGCCATCGGCACGTGGCAGAGCAGCAAAGGTCGACGGTGCTATAGGCACAAGCCAGCTACGGGATAGCTCTGTGAGCGATGCTTGGTCAGACCGTCACCACTCTCCGGCCAGCCGAGGAAGATCGCCTCGATGTCTTGTTGCATCGTCGGAAACCTCACGCCGCCGTCGCTCGCCACCGCGTTCGCCAACGCCTGCTGAAAGCGGAACGTCACTTACAACCACCGACCACCCATCGCCCTTACCATCGCCAATGACTCCTGGTCGTTATGTCGATGATTTGGGCGTCAATGTCAAAGTAGCAAATAGTGACACAAGCAACGAACTGGATGACATGTCGTCCTTGAACCAAGGTGTTGTTGGCGCACCATTAGAGAACGGCAAGTCGGATTCGTCTCGCGAGATAAGTGCGCATCGACGCCGTCGAACAGCATCTAGTGATGCGGATATGGCATTCCCTGTCCCGCCTACTCACGGTGTCCGGGACCTGACCCCAGTATCCGAGGCTTCGTCCCGCCCACCGAGCATTGTTGAACCACCAGCCCCAAAACCCCAAAAGAGAGCCACGAGACACATTAGTGAACTGGCTCTTGGTACTATAGAAACACGACAACGGCAAAGCAGTGCTCACTCAACTGCGACACGTACGTCATCGCAAGGCTCGACGTATGTCAACAGTGCAGGCAAGACGAGATCACGCCATCTAAGCCCCGATTGTATTACGAGCAACTCTCGAACCTCTACCGACAGTAGAGATAGCGTCAGCGATGATGTTTTAGCCGCCTGGAACAGCTTGGGCGGAACATACTAGTTTTCGGCCAACCTGTTGTAATATTTTTCGGGGCAAATCCTGTACATGATTTTAACACTTATTTTTTCTTCCTTGTTCATTGAAATTTTCATTTTGTCATTTTGCATGAAAACCTTGTTTTTTTTTTAAAACTCGTAAAGGAACATATCACAGCCTCTTCGAAAGCCTGTCTTCTATGTCTATGTTTTTTCTCTCTTTGTTCACGCGTTGCAGGGGGGAAAGCCTGATACCTACGAAACCGATCTTTGTTCTATTGCAAAATACAAGTTGATAAAGCTTTTTTTTGGAGATCTTCACGACGACTTAATATGTATTTCTTTTTTTTCCTTGTCTAGAAACTCGGATATATATGTATAGTATAGTATGTATAGAATATCAAAACTCGGTTTATGAAAGGATGTTATTAGTTGTTAGTTGTTGTTTTGTATATCCGCTTTTTTCCGTTACTCTACTGTTCCACATATTCAGTCAAAAGAGAATTTTTAGTATAGAGAGAGAGAGAGAGAGAAATCATAATTTCATTTCATAAAGATTATCCATTATCACTACTTTATTAAAGCTTTTTCTTGTCATGTTCAAAGCGTAGTTATATCCATCTATTCCTTCTTGTACCCAGTGTACTCACCGTATCCGCCCGCTGGAGGTGGATACGCGCCGTAGTCTGCGTAATCAGCAGGTGGGTTTGGGTTCTCAACTGGAGGCGCATTTCCGTAGTCTCCTTTGGTATGTTTGTTAGTTTCAAGAGAGAAAGGGAGGAGGTGAAGACGTACCGTAGTCCGCGTACTCGGCAGGGGCCTCAGTGGGTACGTTGGCGTAATCGCCTTTATGTTTGTTAGTTAAAAAGATAGAGAGAAGGAGAGAGAGAGGGAGAGTCTGGTGCAACGGAGAGTCCCGCACGGAAGGAAATTGGGGGGGGGATTGTCACTTACCGTAACCGTCATATGAGCCTTGAGCGATTGGAGCGGCAAGAGCGCATGAGGCGAAGGCGAGGATGGCAATGAAGGACTTCATGATTGTGGATAGTATATCGAAAACGTCTGTCAAGTTTCGAGTGAATGGAAAGATGGGAAAGTGTGATTGATCAGTTGGATGATTTATAAAAAAACGACAAAGGAAATGGTGGTCTTTTATACATCAACTGAAGCTCTACTATCTACATATTTCCAACACATCGCTTACGGAACAAAACCATACTCGCTTAAACCAACCTACTGGCTTCCGTACCCGAGCTGAAAGACTACGGTGACTCGCTAGTCTGTATACATCAAGCCACTTGCTGATCTCATAAACCACTCTCTCTCTCTCTCTCTCTCTCTTGTGGACTATCGTGGCTGGGTCGAGATTCTATGGGCCTGGAACAAGGCGGGGGGCCTCAAAAGACCCTCCTTCTTTCGCGAGCGAAAACGCCAGCGCCCAATTTCGCTTCTCTGAAGGCCTATCATGAGGTTAACGAAATGTCAATAGTATGGGTAACGTTATGATTCTGGATCTATAGGAGATCTTGGCTCCGAATGCGAGATGCAAGATTTACGGCATATGATCGGGTTTGTTGCTATGTGATTGGTACGGTATTGAGGCTTGTTGTTGCTTTTATTGGTATCTAAGAGACTAACTGTGAGCCAGGCTGGCATTGTTTGGACGGTGACAAAGTGGCGGTATACGATTCGTTTGTTGAGCTGGCAAGCAAACTTGCAGCGATGCCTCGTCAGATAGTTCCTGGGCATGTACCTAGTGTAGCCGCATCTTATACCGCATTTCAGCGTCTTCTTCTTTTTTTCTTTCTTCTGCAAGCTGTGGTTTTGTGCTTCTATTTGAAATGTGCTTTTGCAGTGTTGTGTCGATGTTATCAATTTTGGTCCGAACTTGACTATGTATGCGATCCTCCATCATCACACAATATACAATTGACATATACCAAGAGGTTACTATCTCAAAATTTAAGCGAGGCAATACAAAAGCCTCAATAAGGCTAATTCAGCCCTATGCGCCACTAGTAACTATGAGTGGACAATGCCTCATGAGTTGTATTCAGCTCCTGCGGGGTATTCCGGGTGAAGCTGAACTACCAATTCTGGGCAAAGATAACGCTATACAGATACAAACCTTGCGAGTTTTACGGTGAGGCAAATAGTCGTGGCATGTGCTGCTGGATTATTCCCCTCCAATGTTCAGTTGATTGACTGCCTCGTTCATCTCCTTCACCCTCACCATCTTTGCAACTATGATTTTTAATATGCCCAGCTTCGGTCTACGAAAATGCTCTGATAAAGAGAAAACGACACAAGCAGAAGACTGCGAGAAACTACTTTCGGTGAGCGCTCGATCGTCACTCGAATCATGGCCGCTGCATCCAGCACCACAGGGGTTGTCCTGGAAGATGGCCACTTGTCTCATCTGCTTCACAGCAGTCTTCTCCGCCACATTTGGAGCGTGTGTGGTCATGCTACAACAGCCAAATGCGGATGCTTTCTGTGCGAGGCTTACTTCAAAGTATTGTATGTCTAGAAGAGCTACTTGTTGGAAGGCACTTTACTGAAATCCACTAGCACCTATAATGCACGACGTCGGTGTTACCTACAAGCAGTTGCAATTTAATGGCTCGCTCATGGTGTCTAATCCATATCGACTAGACGCAGGTGCTGAAGTTGATGCAGCATGGAAGTCGTTGGGTGTGGACTGTAAGTGAACTAAGTCATGAAAGCCATCGCCCGCTAACATCAGTACAGACCATGCGGTGAGAGTACCGGCAAACGAGGCACAGCAATCTGGTCTTGCATTGGATCAAGTCCAGATCAAGGAAGAATATGGCGGTGGATACCCTGCACACGTAGAGGGGTTGCACCATCTACATTGCTTGGTATGTTCCTATCAGGCACGCTTAGCAGCCAATACTCATTCGGGTTTAGAACTTGTTGCGCAAATCTCTAGCCTGGAATATCAATTACTATCACAAGCAAGGCCTGGGGCCTTTCTCCAACGATGCAAATGTCCTAAAACACCACACCAGTGAGTACCGGATGCTTCTCTGTACAGTGGACCGTACAGCTCACAACTTCCTTAGCACATTGCCTCGATATCCTGCGACAGCAACTCATGTGTGTCATGGATGTCGGAGTTCTTGGCCAGGTGTGGTATCAGCCGCCTGGTAAACCGTTACAAGCGTTTGTCGATTTCAATACTGTCCACACGTGTCGTAACTTCGATGCAATCCGAGACTGGGCGGAGAAGCACCAGTTGCCAGATGTAAAAGATACACCCGATGATTTCCTCGCTTTACCGAAGGAGGGCGATCGAATCTATCACGAAGTCCCCTAGCGTAAATACTTGGTCCGATGGTGATGTGTACAGCAATCTATGTATTGTTACCAAAAGGGCTCGGAATTATCTAGTGTCGCCCACTCGTCGCCGCCATCGCTCCAGTCTCTCCACACGTCCTTGGGAACTATATCTAGATGCCCACAACGAAGCGTGGCAAAGTCGACATCAAAGGGATGTGCTTTGTATATTTCACCCGAGGTGCGAGCGTGGTTCATGAGATCGAGTTTGTACATACGTACTATTCGCGCAGCTGCACGAACAAACAGTTCTTTCTGTGCATCGTTGTCCCAAATGTTTTCTGTCAGCATCATGACCATGCGTGAGATGTTGGGAAAACTCCGCAAAACATTGGACAGACTGCCGTCTCGAAACCCGTGTAGAATAACTTTTGTTATGGCAATATTTCTCAGTTTTGTTGGATGGCAGCCAGTCGCAAGGAGAAAATGAGCCAACAAACCCACTTCTGGTGAATCATCGTAGTGTTTCACGCGCGGCCCATGGAGCTGAAGCAGTAGAATGTCTGTGTCGACGCGGAAATAGAAATCGTCACAACTGGTTCCTGCGAGTCCAGTTGGGAGATGGACGATATGGTTCGCCTTGGTGGCCTGATAAAGGGCTTCTGTACGCGACTCCCGGCACAGGTTCACGGCTATGGGAGCCGAGCTGGGGCAATATCGTGGACAAAAGTGCTGCTCGTCGTGCCCCTCATCGTGAGGCTTGGTTTCCAAAGCCACTAGCCGAGGTGGTTCGTTGAAGTATACATTGGCCCAAATTTGTAAGCGGAGTTCTTTGGGCAGCAGTGATATGGCCATGTCTAAATGTCTAAAATACATGTAGTAGCGACCCTGAAGCGGGGGATGTGGGGGGTTGAATGGAATGGCGTTCTAGAGGGTTCGGAACTACCGAATCTGGACGTCACGTGCTAGTGCGTCTTTGCAGCCATCCCCAACATCTGGGTTTGCGACATTACGAGTCCACTCCACTTTGCTCCACAGGTTGCGGACACTTTACTTGATACCGTTAACTATCCTCCATACTCACAAATGTATGTACTACGCCGGCAGCGCAGAGTGTTTATCGGTCTGGAGGATTCCGTTTGTCTCGGCGTCAAAGTTTTCTCGGTCTAAAGTCGCGGTATGTCTGGAAATACAATGGCCATGGCGGTGTACTTGGTGGAGATGCGACCACAGGTTCGACCATACTGTGCTCCCCCCGTGTCCCCGCGCTAGAGACACTCCGCCCAGAAGATCATTCCGCTTCTATGCAATTGCAATGGGGGCTATGTGGCACAGCCCAATCGCGAGTCATTGTGAAAAAGCAACCGTCTCGTGGCGACGTCGCGTCGAAATGTTGAGGCCGGTTGAGCACTATCGACAGCCGGGCAAGGGGCTCTAGATATAGAACGTCTACACGGGAGACGCATGTCCAGGATGAGCCTGCAGGCTACATGGGCAGCAAGACGAGCGGGGAGCGCCCTGGAGTACTTAACACTGAGTTCTTGATGAGGCTCTAGGTGGATTCGCGACGGGTGTCCCACTGGAGTCCCACTGGAGAAATGGACGGCGCCAAAAGGTGTGGAGTTGTTGGTCGCGCGACCCGCTGTATGTGAAGTCACACTGACATAAGCGCGGATGCGATGCCGGGCAAAAGGTCTAGTTTTGTTGGCATTGGGCTTGATCGACGATTCGGAGGGCGTTCAATGGCTTACCTCTGGGACTCGGAGGAGGCTGAAAGATTTGAGGCTCCATGTGACAAGGCTGGGCATCTTTGCAGCCGCGTTGTTGGCCGTGGAGCTCTTCCCCCTCCCCCGCTTTAAAGCCAAAACCACCCCTCTTCCAGCGTCATACGGCAGACACCGCACAGCAACGGCACGTGTCTTGACCCCGACGACTGCCGATTAACCACCGAATCCTCCCGTCTTCTACGATGCTCTCCCTGCGATCTGCTCTCTACCACTTCACCTTCAATCCGTGAATTGGACTGCCCTTGCCCTGGCCTTTTCTTGTCGCAAGAACCTTTTGTTGCTGCGTGCCCGAGGATCAAGGCCCTTCTTCACACATCACACCCCATACACATCTCTGCACCAATATCATAAAGCATCTGGTGTATTGTGCGACCTAATCGACGTCGCTAAAAATTATTCCGTGCCTCAACTGCGCCCGAGATTGCTGTTAGCGCCCAGTCCTAGAGAGCGACGCCGCCGAGTAACCACTGCATCTGTCGCGCTTATCCCACAGCTTCGATCGCAAACGGAAAGCCCTTCTCGCACTAAAGGGTCCGCCTGCGCATACAAGTGCAAGCAGAAAAACAAAGTCTACAGCATGGCGACACAAGACATCTCCGCGCACGCGACGGAACCTCAGCCGGTGCCCAAAGAAGAAATCCAGGAAGAATCACAATCGCACTTGGATGAAGGGAAGCTGAAACAGTTCTTTATTGGATCCATAGATCAAGGAACTACGAGTACTCGCTTTATCATCTTCGATGGTCTCGGTGAACCCGTAGCCCAACATCAGATTGAATTCACCCAAAAGTATCCTCAATCAGGGTCAGTAGACATCTACACCACAATCAAAACTTCTCTCTAATCGGCACAGATGGCATGAACACGATCCATGGGAAATTATTGACACCGTGGAACAATGCATCGACAGGGCTACAAACATTTTCTTGGACAATGGCCACAATATCGAGGACATCAAGGCTATTGGTATCACCAACCAGCGTGAGACCACAGTGGTGTGGGACACTACCACTGGCCTGCCTATTTGCAACGCAATCGCTTGGTACGTATGGCACATGCACAAAACGCACATGTGATTTAGCTGACCCCGGCTCGTCTGTCCGTAGGCCAGATACCAGGACTAAGGGGTTAGTGCGTGAGCTGAAGGATCGAAAGGGTGCTGATGAGTTGTTGAATTTGACCGGTCTTCCTCTTTCAACCTACCCGTCATCGGTCAAACTGCGCTGGCTGCTCGATCATGACGAAAACGTCAGGAGTGCGTACGAAGAAAAAAGACTTTCGTTCGGCACCATCGATTCTTGGATATTATACAACCTGAACGGTGGAAAGGATGGCGGAATTCACGTAACAGATTCAACTAATGCATCAAGAACCATGTTCGTCAATCTGTAAGTTAGCCACTCGCCACTATATTTTAGCCAAAAGCGCCAGCATTCGCTAACGCACCGACAGGCACACCGTTCAATACGATGACAAGCTTCTGGACTTTTTCGGAATCGATCGCACCAAGGTAAAATTACCAAAAATCGTCCCGTCTTCATCGCCAGACGAATTTGGGTACATAAGAACCGGTATACTGGAAGGTGTACGGATTGCGGGGTGTCTCGGTGATCAATCTTCGGCTCTAGTTGGTCAACAAGGGTTCACGCCTGGTTCAGCAAAGAATACGTACGGCACGGGCTGTTTCCTGCTGTACAATGTTGGCGAAAAGCCTGTTATCTCCTCGCACGGCCTTCTGGCCACCGTGGCGTATGATTTTGGTGGGAAACGGAAGCCAGTGTATGCACTCGAAGGTAGCATCGCCGTGGCGGGCAGTGGCGTCAAGTTTCTCATGAACAATATGGGCTTCATTACACATTCGCACAAGATTAGCGACTTGGCAGCCTCTGTCGAAGACAATGGTGGATGCGTCTTTGTCACGGCTTTCAGTGGTCTTTTTGCACCTTACTGGATCGACGATGCAAAAGGCACCATATTCGGGATCACTCAATTCACAGAGCGGGGCCACATCGCTCGCGCAACCCTTGAGGCAACGTGTTTCCAGACAAGGGCAATTCTCGACGCCATGGAACTAGACAGTGGTCACAAGCTCAATATGCTTGCAGTTGACGGTGGAATGAGTAATTCTAATTTGTGTATGCAGGTATGTGAATGCTGGTTTGATATTTCTAGAAAGTCTTTTCTTGCTGACCACGAACAACAGACTCAGGCAAATATCATTGGCATTCCTGTAGATCGTCCGGCAATGCGCGAAACTACTGCGTTAGGTGCCGCCATCGCAGCTGGATTTGCTGTTGGCGTATGGAAAGAATTTGAAGAGCTGAAGGAAATCAATCAGAAAGATCGCATGATTTTTAAACCAAACGTGGACAAAGAGGTCGGTGAGAAGATGTTCAAGAAATGGGGACGGGTAAGTCGTCGCGATCCAGAGATTGCGGGTGACAAAAGTAAACTAACTTTAAGTTCTTATCTAGGCTGTCGAGATGTGCCGCGGCTGGTTAGATGCTGGTGAAGCTAATGGAGAATTCTCATAATTTGCATCTGTATTGGAGACTAATTTATCCATAAACGATTCAGTGCATTTCTCCTTGGCGCCAGGTAGTACGGAGTTGGGAAGCTTGCTTCAGAAAGTACCAGTACACTGTGATATGGATGTTCATGCTCTGGGTGGGCTACAAAGTGGATTGATAATCGACAAGATATTGTGGGCCAAGCGGATTTCTACAACCGCCTCTAGTATAGACACTGCCCTAGCACGGCGTGGGAATGAGATTTAACATTATCGGTATTGGATAAGCTAGCTCAACCATCCTGTGACGTTGCCGTTCATATATGTACTACCTCATGTTCAGCCTGAATGTCCCATGCGTCTGGTCAAAACGAAGTAGCATGAAAATCACCTACATGCCTAGTAGAATTTTACGCATTGCACCAATGAAATAACGTCAATAAGGCTGCCAAGGTGTCATTACGGTCGGTGCACGCGCATGTTGCCTAATGCAGGCTTCTTCGCGTCTCACGCCATTGTCATGCAGATGCGGCACGACGTAGTATACAACTAGGCTGAATGTAGCCGTACTGGGGACCAACATTGATGATTACTCACTGATGTCTTACTTGACTAGAAACATACCATGTAAGAATAGCACCGTAACGACAACAACAGGGCAGGTAACAAGGAACAGATATTGCTGAGCCCTCGTATCGAACTTCCTCGTCTGGACACCGTGGTCGCAAACTTGCTTGCTTCTTTTTTTTTCGAATGAGTCCAATCATCCGCCAGCAACATGAAGACTGGTGGCAAAAAGAAAAAAAACGATCAAATCCCCAGGAACGGTATCCTAGTATTTTTTTTCCTGCAAACACCTGCAGTAGTATTTGGTCTGGTCGGCATTGGCGAGGAGCAGCTACACCTAGTTCTACGCTTGAATCCTGATTCCAGGCCCACGACTAGGAATGGAGCATATTACCCTTTCATCTATTTTGCTGCAGCAGGCCCACCTTTGGGTGGTGCATGGAGGAGCGGCACGTCGCTTCCTTCCGCGGACCTGCTGTACCGGGTGCCTGGTCTTCATGTGTTTGCATGCATGAGGTACTGAGCATTCCAGGACGGCTTGTGAAAGATGAGGTTTTGCCATTGAATTTTTTTTGAGCATAGTAGCGCTTCCGATGGTGCCGAGTGTGCTGTCAAAAAGACATGATGCAGTTTGAAAGTATCCTGGAGCCGTCTGTATCCGCGTGAGTGAATGGACGGACAGCGTAGCGGTGTAGACACGAGCCCAAGAAAAAGTCACTGCCAATCCCATTGCTGGGAGTAAGAAAAAGGGCAATACGGCGAGAATGGATACACGTGGCTATGTGAGGGAAATATCTACGTACGTTCGTGGCGTCACATGGCACTGATCTACTAGTACCGAGTGATAGCCGGCAGTACTTAGTTAGTGGACGCCGTCGTCGGTCTTTTGTAGACGGCGTCATTTCGCGGTTATACCGCAATTGTCGTTTGGACACAGTCAGGCCTGTGAGTGGGGGCCCAGACGTACCGTTAGACTATGTCACACAACCATACAAACTTGCAAGTAGTCGCCGTATGCGGGACGGCAAGCGATGATTGCGCAACACCTGACCTCCGGATGCTTTCGCGATGCAAACTGGGACCGGGGAAGCGGGACAGCAAGCATCGAGGATGAAAAATCGGTGAGTAACGGTGTAGCCAAGTACTTCAGTTTTGGAGGATGAAACATGTGCCGCGATACCACAAAACGCGTCGTGTTGGCGTGTGTGTGTTTGGGCGGGCGGGCGGGCGAAGCCATGAAAATGCCGCTACGACGACGTATATCCAAGCAATACTCGACGTTGTGCTTCGAGATGCACTGGATGTGGGAACCAGAGCGACCCCGGCCTCGAAGCTTACTTTTGTCTACCGTCAGGGATACTCCAACGGCTGCAGGCACCCCCCCCCCCCGGGCCACCTCGACATGCAACGGTACAGGTAAGTCGTCGATCAACCCTGACCTGTGCGCGCGCCTGTGGCTCCGAACTTAGTGCATGGGAGGCTTGTCCTTGCCACCAGATGGCCTCTCCGCTGATTATCACACCCCTGGGGGGTCAAACCGACGTTCATTACGCACGCTACCCTACCATCTTATCTCCTGGACATGGGGACATCCCGTTGATCCGCTCGGCGTCCGCATTGGGCTGCAAGCTTTCGCTCAAGGTTGCTGGAAGCGAACAGACTTCAAACATGAACGTCTCCACCCAGCTCTATGGCGTGTAAAAGGCTCGACCACACATGAGAACCCGGTCCCGCTGAAGCATCCATGTCCGCTACAATGATGCATGCTTGCTGCTGATGGACCAGGTTCAAATCGACATGGGGGCGTAGTGGCTCTGCACAGCTTCCACGGGTACCTGATCGCACTGACGCCTATCCAGCTACTGTGTCTGGAGACTACTATAACATAGCGGACCGTCGCGCGCATCTGCATGCCAATCAAGCTTGAAATTTCTCCATCCAAACGTACCAACTGCATTGCTTGCCTTGCCGTCCCATTCCCACCTTTTTGCCACATTTCTGCGGACCCTGTGCCCACCCTACAACTGTACCACCCCCTCACACCCTTCTTAACCGTCTCGTCTATATCATCATGTGCGACTATACACAAGTGCAGTACAAGTGTACGCACGTCCGATATGTTGTCAAGGCATGGTGTACCAAATATCAACAAACTCATGTACGGTGCCCGGCAAATGTCACTGCAGTGTAAGAACCCATATGCCAAAAATGCAACAACCTTCATCGCCATACTGACCCCTCATTTTAGAGAATATAGATTGAACGATAATTGCGGTTCGTAACATCACCCCCATACGGCACTTGATCATGTTCATTCATACTAACATCAACCTAGGCGATTGTAGACGATGACACCCACCAACCTCAGTCCTCTTCCTTTTCCTGTCTGTAAAAACAAAAAGTTGTGACATTACTCGGCGTTACATGGTGGACATTCGCATAATACCCATTTTGGAAGTTGTTGTTTTTTCTTTTTCGGCGCCTGTTGATTTACTAGTCGAATTGCATCATCATTGTCCTTCACAAGAGTCATGTATTGCTCTCCGCCATTGTTGTTTCCCCTTTCCGCAATAAAACACAATCTCTCTGGACACTGAGGCGAAATTGCAGTCAGTCGGGTTCGACAAAGTCGCTCAAAGGTCACCGGAATCCTCTCCCCCTCTCTCCCCTCACCAATCCAAGGGGTCCAGGCTCGACGGAAGGCATTCCGTGCATTCCAATCTTCCCCCTCAACCAACCAACCGGCCTTGGGCAAACACGGAAGCGCTCAGAATTACCCCAACGGTGAAAAGGCGACATTCGGCATTCCCCAATAGTTCAGACAGTGTGCTTGTTACTGCATTAGCCAAAGCCCAAGTCAGTGGAGGACCACCTGTCTGCCGAAATTCTATCGGGACGGCGACAACTCCGGAGGGTTGAAAGCCACGCCCGCTAGTGAAGAGACAGAGTGGCCGGCCGGCCACCTGTCTAGGAAGGGTGCAACACGAACGGGATTCGGAAGAGGCACACAGCCGATCAATTTGTCTGCCCTCTTGCCTTCTTCCGTTTCATGTTTGACATGCAGTTCGCCTGCAAGGAAAATCACAATGAGAGCCGAGAAACATCAGCCCTTCGGCCCAATCTCGGCCTGCGCATCATGGCCCTAAGCTTCGTATCCATGACGGAGTGAAGAGCCCGTGGGTGGACAGTGCCTGTCTCGCATTGCAATATGGACACCTCCAGATGGCTCGGTTTCAAAGTCTCAAGCCCATTCATCAAGTTGCGACGGAGGGAGAGGCAGCGGGCGGTGGTCTGTTTTTTTGGTCTGGTCGGCTAGTAGCGGGAAGTTTGAATGGGGGCGCTTGCTTTGGGGGGGAAGAGGGGGCGTTTGGTATAGAATGTGTACATAGTACTGTGTACGGGGGCCTTGGGTTGTGTCGATTCAGGCACACATGCAGCCATAGTCGACTTATGCAAGTCACCGAATGGAAGGGTGGAACCATAGCCCCGTGAAAAGAAGCATAGTAGGGCATCAATACGCGTAGCTAGCAATGAGCGTCTGGCCAATGACAGGGCTGAGGTTGGTCGGAGCACGGGCCGCCTTGGCTGTCTGTCGCTCTCTGTGTCGACACAGCAATCTTACTGCCACAGCCTGCCCGCCACACAAGCTTACTTTACTACTATACATATGTACGTACACATGCGCTTATCAACATCTCATCATCGTATATCCACATCGCACACGAGTCACTCTCCTTTTCTCCTAGTCCTTTCCATGGCCACATGGCGTGACAGGCATTTTGCCGCCCTTTGGGACCTTTGCTCATCCTCCTTACCAGGCCTCGACGCTCTACTCGTATCAAGGCCCAGCCCTTTTTGCGCAAATCACTCTTCCCCATCATCCAGGACTGTGCTCAGCCACCTTGACCATCGGGCCGCAGGGTCTCACGACACAAGGACGCAGCTTCGACCTGGTGACTCTGGTGCCAGCATCGCACCAGCCGCGTCGACGATGCATGTTCCGTCCTATGCCCCTTCCCACAAGGTCGTCATATGCACCTTGCTTGCCGTGTCCTTGATGCTGACCTCATGTGAGAAAGCAACAAAAACGATGCTGAATGATTGCCAATATGAATCCACTTCTGTTTCACCACCAGACGTTTTGTCATCTCCCCCCTCCATTTCATCTACCCCAAGGGAATGCATTCCGTCTGTACATAGAGCACATGGGTGCTGTTGCAAGTCCCGCGCGGAGTCGCCTCGTCCGCCTCATTGAACAGCAGCAGCAGCGGCGGGAACAACTTGCGCCTATAGCGTGGTGGTCGCTTGCGATTCACCGTAGAAGCATTCTGGAAGGCGAATCATTGGACGGGTTACCAAAGCGCGACCTATGCGTCGTGGATCTGCACCAACTGACTCGCACTCGACCCAAATCATGAGGCAGGAACCAAGAAAAATTACGGCGCAGCATCTCTTGTCTTGCCATCGCGTGTGCGCGTTTTTTTTCTTGTCAAGATGCTACGGAATCATGGGATTGGTCCGGGTACTGAAAGCCGGACGAGCGACAGGTATGTATGCGTATGTACATACATGTGTATATATGTGAGCATACTTCCACGCATGGAGGAAATTCCTTGGCCCTTTTGGATTGGTATTCTATCGCCAACTCGTCCAACTAGGTACTCTACTACTAGTCGCTATATGTACTAAAGTACTAAACATACTAAATATGTAGATATGTACAGTACGTACCGCGCTTGCTTGGCCCACGACAATAATTGCTCAGGTTGAAGGTTCCAAGACCACGGCCGTGCAGCTTGAGCTGCCACTCAAGAATCGGTACTATCGCTCCGTCATCAAGTGTGTCTGACGAGTGCGTAGCTGGGTCAAAAGTTGGTTGCTTCTGTCGTTTGGGGTTTGCAGTTCCGATTCCCCGACCTGAGCAGCTCAACCTTGACACGACATGGGCTGTGCAGTGCAGTGCACGCGCTGCTCAGCCTAGACGTATGTGTGTGTCGTGACGGGCGCCAACTTGGTTCTTGTTTAGCGGCTGATGACGCGCCGGCTCGACCATCCCATGGTGCAATTGCGCTAAAAAAAAAGTTAAGTACAGAGTATCGTACTACACCCAAAAAAACCGCCGTCCTTGACTCGCGTCCCTCTTCGCGTGGAGAGCCTCCCGGCATCCCACTTACTGCTCGCTAAGTTGTATACGGTCGATGAATGGGGGGAGGGAGGGGTGGGATCATGGATCGTGGTTTTAACCTTGACACCGAAGCCGCCCTTAGATGACACGAACAATCATTCCCTTGCAAAATGTATTCCGCATAGCTTTTTCCGGCAACAGCCTATCACCGTCGCGCGCGGATACGCGGAACAAATACGCCCAATTTGCGCATGCCCTTGATCATCTTTTCTAGGGTTGGTCGCATCCAAAACTGCATGGGTAATGTATCATCCGGTGTATCTTTCTTGCTTACAACATTGTTGCTAATCCAGTCCCCCATCGACGTCGTCTGGGGAGTCGGGTACGGCCGCTAGCTTTTGCGAACACCACAACTGTACAGGGTCCTTACCAGTAAGTTAGCGGTTATTTCCTTCCTTCATCCTCTTTTTTGGGGGGGTTTGTCTTGCTTCCAGGCTAAGGATTGCCGTCGAGTTCCACTTACCCCCCCAATCCCTGCCTTGAAGTTACACTTTTTTCTCTTCCACTTAGGCTGTCGATTTTCGCAGCCACAACTTTACACATGCCGGAGGATTATTTTTTTTTCCAAGGCAAACACTAGTAACCTGCACAGTAATAGCGTGAGTCGGCAGTTTGTGACGTGCGTCGGTACTTGTGTGATGCACGATTGTCAATCAAGATGCTTTCCTCGAGGGCGCGCGCGCAACGACTACCATGACTGGCAGGTGACACAGAGTCGAAGGACATGCCGTTTCACATATTTTTTGGTGCTCCAGGATCTTCGCTGGACGCCTAATCGGTACGGCCCGAGCTGTCAAGAGATGGATGAGTAAATAAAAAAACACCTCCCAAGTCTGGCTTGGGTTTGCATGTATTGAAGAAGTCCTGGAGCCCGTCCTGACAGCGGTAAGATTACGCGTGCGCCGACAGAGGGCGAGGAGAAAATACGTGTATGTACTATGTACCGTATATGCCGCTGATTAGCAACGCCAAAGTTTGTCAAGAAACTCTGGCCAAAGGTGTTTTCGTTGCAAGGACTGGGATCTGCATGACTTGTGATAGGCTGGCTGTTTTGGTTTGGGGGGTGAGGGGAAACGGCAGACAGGTATTGTAATTTTCTTCATCTTCACAAAACCTTCTTTGGACGGGCAAACTCGGCGTTAGGGTGGGGGGTGTTGGTTGCACAAAGACCGGACACGCGACAAAAAGGCTTATTACATCCGGACCGGAGGGGTCATCGCCGATGTCCAGGTCAGAAAATACTTTACAGCAATGCAACAAGAGGTCCCGCCATGGCAAGGGCGGAGTAAAGTCCGTGGCACTTGGACAGCGGCACTTTCCCGCCCTTGCTTCAATCTGAGACGTACGACAAAGGTCCCAAGTATGACGTGCAGCAGGCTATTGAGCTAGTCGCGGATCACCTCGGAGTTTTAACGTCGGGTCATGCGCGGGTGTGGAGACGATTAATTGGAGCACGACTACTTTTACCACAAAACAGCAAGAAAGCGGGACGCAGAGACGAAATTCGGTTCGCCCCCGTTTTGAAATATTTAAGAACCTTGATTTTGTCTTGCATTATAGGCTCGGCGGACCTGGATGCCGCCCAGAAGAAGAACGGACACAGATATAGTTGGCGGGCTGACAACAAAAGGGCTACTACTCCAATGCTCGCTCCGTTACAAGGGGCCGGCGGTGCTTCGGTGCCTCGCTTCAACCTCCGCACCCCCGCCGGCGCTACCCATGAGAAACGTGGGCAAGCTCAGTTTGGCAAGACTAGCAGTCTAATACCGGATCTGCGCGGGATGGCTAGTAAGGTGTGTATGGACCTCGAGTACATTTGTAGAATAGGAAGCTAGACATGGTCATGGCAGGGTCAAGTATCTGCCGCCGCCCCCCTTCTCTTCGGAAGCATGGAAACGACGACACGAGCCATGCTGACGTTGAGCTGCCGCAAGCATATTACCGGGGTTGTTGTCGAAGCAAATGATTGCGAAACTCATGGCGATGCTGGCGCCATGGTGCTTGTGGCAATAAGCCGATCGCCTATAATCCATAGGGCTCGGGTGTCGTAAATGCACGAAAGCCTGCAAAGCTTCCCGCCTCATGTCCATCTCCGCCTTTCGGTCACATCGCCGAAGCCCGGTGAAGACGGAGCAGGGCTTGAAAGGAACGAGGCTAGCGTGGAGGGGGTAATATATATATATATATATATGTGTGTGTGTGTACGTATGTATGCATGTATACTTAGTAAGTATGGATGTACGGATATAGATGTAGGATACAGCCGCATACATACTTACTTACTAAACGTACCTATATGTAGGGTGTGCGTCTTTTTTGGTCAAATAATATTCCTATGTTGCAATTGGATGACAGGCCATGTGATATGTGTGCGGATGTGCCTCGGATGACATGACTCGCTATTGGGAACAAGTGACTGGTGGCCTGAAAATGTGTACATACATTGTCGTATGTATCTCAGTATCTACATCACATGCGTGTGATATAAATGGTCAATTGTCTGGACAATGCTTGATCAAGTGTCAGCCAACAACTGCATCATGGACACGATCGACGAGAGCTTCCGGCAAGGGGGGTTGCAAGTCCAGAAAGGCGGATTATGAGAGGCAGTCATGACATGATTTAGCACATTGCATATGGTAAGTTGTGGTTGCTGGCTATTGTTCGTTTGGATCCGTATCTCGCTCGGTTTGACTCGCAATTCTTGCCGTAGTACCCTGATGTCTCGTTGTACCTGCCTCGTCGCATTGGAAGAACGGCCGTCCCCATCTCACAGCTCACGCACATCCACACGGTACATGCGTTTTTTGCATCTGCCGAGAGGATGTCTGTGAGCGTCTTCGTAGCCCAACATGATTGTGGATTCGTAGTGAGCCTCGGTCAGGCCTTTTCACCGCCCGTGGGCCGAGCTGCAGCCGTTCCAAGATCAAGCAGCTTGCAAGGCTGACTGACTGCAGGATTGGGTGTGCGATGCTTCGTCTCGGGTATTCCTGCTTCGTTACGGGTGAAAGATTGAAAGTATCGGTATGTCGGACAAGCGTCCGAGTCAGGAAGGACGACTCCGTTAGCGAGCCGTCATCATGGTAAGCAATATGCGGGGCCCATATAGGGCTGCATGAGCCGGGAGCACTCATGTCAAGGTCTAGCTCTGGAGAAAGAGAAAAAAAATTTAGAATAAACCAAAACCATGGTGGTGACAACGAGCGGTAAAGTCCGCTGTCGAGGCGTGGGAAGTTTGAATATCCTCAGCCGTGTGAACATGTCACTTGCTTACGCTCGTGACGCGGGATGCTGCATTTTATGCCGGTCTGCATAATATAAAAGTCAGAAAAGACCCGAAAGGATATGCACGACATGAATGAGACGTGTCGGTGTGGGCTATGGCAGAGAGGCCATCCTGGTCGGCTACAATATCGAATTAAATCCACGGCCAGGGTGTTGCGTGTTGGTTTTGGGTGTGTCCATGTCACGAGCAGGTCGGTGCCGCAAAGTGTGAATCTTGTTGCTGTGTGTTGAGGACGGGGTGGGTGCGAGTGACGGGTCAAGACGCATGCATGCAAGCCGTGTGCTTGGTAAGTCGGACATACAAAGGCATGTGAGCAGGCGGCCAAAGTGCAGCCGTTGAGCCAGAGTTGGGGCGTGAGAAGGTGAGAGAGCGTCTTTTTTAGCGTGGCACTAGATGCACCCTGATTGGACGCGACGACGTGTCCCCGAGGCGAGACTGCTCACGGCGCCGCCTTGTCTTCTCATCCGCATTTAGCATCCAAACATAACATGTCCCTACCACAAGACATCCCAACCCCCGACAATGCCTTTTATGTGCTCGTCACGGGCGCCAACAGGTTTGCAGCTCGAACACGCTAGGCTCGGTGGCACACAGTTGACTCGTTTCGCAGCGGCCTCGGCCTCGGGATCGGGACTCGGCTGATTGATGAGTTTCTCCAGACCCGGCCCCAGACGGAATCCCTCGTCCTCATCATCACCACACGCGATCAGCGCAAAGGCGACGCCACGATTCATAGGCTAGAGCAGCACCTGGCGAACACCATCCGCTCCCATGAGCGCAAGCTCCCAGGCATTGCTCAGGTTCTGCGCAACCGCGTATACTTTCGGCAGGAGCGTTTAGATCTGCTCAGTCTGGTCTCGGTGCAGAAGCTTAGCAAAAAGCTACGAGAGACGACGCCTAAGCTCGACGTGCTCATCTGCAATGCTGGCATTGGCGGCTGGACAGGAATCAATTGGCCCCAGGCCATTTGGACCATCCTCACCAATTGGAGCCATGCCATAACCTGGCCTACGTACAAGATCTCTGGTATTGGATGGCTTGCAAAGCCCCAGATACAGGCAGAAAAGGAGGTGGAAGAGCCGCCTCTGGGCCAAGTCTTCTGTGCCAATGTCTTTGGTCACTACATGCTGGGCCACTATCTTGCACCGCTGCTGGCCAAGCACCCGAAGAGCAGCAAGACGAGGGGCCGCATCATCTGGGTCAGCAGTCTTGAGGCGTACGACCACGTGTTTGATGTGCAGGATATCCAAGGCATTCTTTCCGACATGCCATACGAGGTCAGCAAGCGCTTAACGGATGTGTTGGGGATTTCGTCAAGGCTACCATGTACAAGGCAGTCGGTGGCCCGGTATCTGGAGACAGGCAAAGACAAGGCCAAGGACGAGGATGACAAGGAGACGACTGAGCCACGGCTGTACGTCACGCACCCGGGGATTTGCGGAACGGCGATTATGCCGCTCCCGCTGATACTCGAGTACTGCATGCTGATTGCCTTTTATGTGGCGCGATGGGTGGGCAGTCAGTGGCACACGATCACGGTGGAGAAGGGGGCGACAGCCATGGTGTGGCTAGCGCTTGTGAGTCAGAGCACCCTGGACAGCATCGAGGCAAACGAGGGCGTGGGCAAATGGGGGAGTGCAACAGACTTTTGGGGACAGGAGCGTGTAGATCGCACCGAGGTGCCGGGGTGGGGTTGGGGAGGCAAGATTGGAGAAGAGGGGAGGAGAAAAGGCAGGGATCCGTATGCAGAGGACCTGTGCAAGGAGAAGCAGGAGCGGTTTGTCGAGACGGGGACCAAATGCTGGGAGCAGATGGAAAGGCTGCGTGTCGAATGGGAGGATCGGCTGCGTAGCGCTGGAGTGGGTGTGGACATGTCGTGAGGCAGCAATCTTGTCGGCACATGGAAGAACCGGGGCAGACAGATGGGCAGGCAATCGGACAGGGTGTATGTTGAGTATATACGTACGTACGTATGTGAGTAGTGTAGACATGTAGGTACATGGTACAGTATGTGTGTGTATTATTGGTATTGTTTCTAATGGGGTGTAATATTGATGGACGAGGTTGTGCTGATGGTTGATATTGGGTGGTGGTGGTGGAGGAGGAGGAGGAGGAAGAGCAAGGTTTGGGGCTAAGTACTGTCGCCATGCTTGCCCCGCTCCTGCATGCAACAATGTCATGCTCAAAGGCCCAGTCAGAGAGCGCAAAAGGTCGAGGAGGTGAAGAGGGCGCATAGCAGGTACATGTACTAGCTGGCGACCGACATGAGTCCGAGGCATCGGAGCATGGTCCGATGGGCGATCATTGAAGATGGGTATCTAGTCTGGACATGGCTATACTGTGTGGTGAGTATGTAGTGGTTTACGATAGCTACATGGCCGATTTGAGGCTCAGGCCTGTGCCGGCGAGGATTGACAGGTGAAGGGCGGGTGCTGGATAGCTCAACAGCCCGAGTCGGTCGACGGCGTGCGGTTCGTTGGCGAGCAAAAAGCCCCGACGACAAGTTGCCAAAGCAACTGAGGCGAAGGAAAAGTATATCATGACGCCCGTGGCCCGTCGGCCGTGTGTCCATGTCGTGGAGCAGTGTGGATGGCAGCTTGGCAAAAAAAGCACGTGACGGAACCATCCATGAGCGGACAGCCAATGCAGCGCTACTGAAGACAGTCGGGTCCAGCCCACCGACGCCCAGCAACAGCCACGGCCCTAGGGAGGCGCCGCCCGTTTTACCATGCGAGGCAGCCGTCCAACAGCAGGGCGAGCTGGCACGTCCGTGTTTTGATGGGCATCGAGGACGTGTGTGCGAGTATGGATGGATGTGCATATATGGTGTGTGGAGAGAGGGAGAGGGAAGGGGAGGGGTGTTCGTGACGCCATGCAGGCCTCATGCAGGCCGGGCAGGGAGGCGGCCGCCCAAGGACAAGGGGGGGGCGGCGCCCCTCGAAGCCCCCCATCTCCCCACGCACTCGCCGACGGCGGACGGTTGCAGTGGAAACGCGGACAGTGGACAGTGGACAGTGGACAGTGGACAGTGGACAGTGGACAGCTACTAATAAAAGGCGGGCGCCCAACATGCAACAGCAACATGGCAGCCCGTTGGACTGGGCCGCTCACTAGCAAGTCCTTAATGCTTCCCCTTCTCGCTTGACCCTTCAGGGCTTAAGGCGGCTCCCCGTGGCAGGTGGCGGTGGTGGCGGCCCTTGATGCCCGATTCATCCCCCCCTTTGACCATTGTAACTGTGCCATTGACCCCAAGTCTGCTCTTGACGTGCACCACCACCAACACCACTCCTCGACGTGCGCCAGCAAGCCCAGTACCGTGCGCCTTCGTTCTTATTCTTCTTGCTCGTCGCTACATTGCTTTTGCCACACTTGCGCGTGTCATCACGCGTCCTAATGCAACCTATACACTAACCCAAATACTCAGCCGCCACCGTTACTCTCCCACAATCACTGTACATACATACAAACATACATACAAACATTACATACATACACACACGTGTGAGGAGGATACACTACAATCCACTGCGACGCGTCTAGCAACCAATCAATGGAACCCAAGGGCGATCCGCTCCCGAGCGACTTTCCTCCCATCTTCACACGCGACACTACACTTGGCGCCCTCTTGCGCGCACCCCCGCCATACATTGTGCTCGCACACGACTCGACATTCTCAACCGCTTAGGACCTCTGTGGTAGAAACAAGGTCGTGATTCTGGCCTCTGGTTCCCTCATTTATATTCTCCACCTGCAGCTAAAACCCAC